GGTCGCCCCCGTGCACTGCTTTGGCCATGCCAGGTATCACTCTCCCTCTGCCCTTTTGACTTAAACAAAAGTCGAATAAGGTCGCCCCCGTGCACTGCTTTGGCCATGCCAGGTATCACTCTCCCTCTGCCCTTTTGACTTAAACAAAAGTCGAATAAGGTCGCCCCCGTGCACTGCTTTGGCCATGCCAGGTATCACTCTCCCTCTGCCCTTTTGACTTAAACAAAAGTCGAATAAGGTCGCCCCCGTGCACTGCTTTGGCCATGCCAGGTATCACTCTCCCTCTGCCCTTTTGACTTAAACAAAAGTCGAATAAGGTCGCCCCCGTGCACTGCTTTGGCCATGCCAGGTATCACTCTCCCTCTGCCCTTTTGACTTAAACAAAAGTCGAATAAGGTCGCCCCCGTGCACTGCTTTGGCCATGCCAGGTATCACTCTCCCTCTGCCCTTTTGACTTAAACAAAAGTCGAATAAGGTCGCCCCCGTGCACTGCTTTGGCCATGCCAGGTATCACTCTCCCTCTGCCCTTTTGACTTAAACAAAAGTCGAATAAGGTCGCCCCCGTGCACTGCTTTGGCCATGCCAGGTATCACTCTCCCTCTGCCCTTTTGACTTAAACAAAAGTCGAATAAGGTCGCCCCCGTGCACTGCTTTGGCCATGCCAGGTATCACTCTCCCTCTGCCCTTTTGACTTAAACAAAAGTCGAATAAGGTCGCCCCCGTGCACTGCTTTGGCCATGCCAGGTATCACTCTCCCTCTGCCCTTTTGACTTAAACAAAAGTCGAATAAGGTCGCCCCCGTGCGCTGCTTTGGCCATGCCAGGTATCACTCTCCCTCTGCCCTTTTGACTTAAACAAAAGTCGAATAAGGTCGCCCCCGTGCACTGCTTTGGCCATGCCAGGTATTACTCTCCCTCTGCCCTTTTGACTTAAACAAAAGTCGAATAAGGTCGCCCCCGTGCACTGCTTTGGCCATGCCAGGTATCACTCTCCCTCTGCCCTTTTGACTTAAACAAAAGTCGAATAAGGTCGCCCCCGTGCACTGCTTTGGCCATGCCAGGTATCACTCTCCCTCTGCCCTTTTGACTTAAACAAAAGTCGAATAAGGTCGCCCCCGTGCACTGCTTTGGCCATGCCAGGTATCACTCTCCCTCTGCCCTTTTGACTTAAACAAAAGTCGAATAAGGTCGCCCCCGTGCACTGCTTTGGCCATGCCAGGTATCACTCTCCCTCTGCCCTTTTGACTTAAACAAAAGTCGAATAAGGTCGCCCCCGTGCACTGCTTTGGCCATGCCAGGTATCACTCTCCCTCTGCCCTTTTGACTTAAACAAAAGTCGAATAAGGTCGCCCCCGTGCACTGCTTTGGCCATGCCAGGTATCACTCTCCCTCTGCCCTTTTGACTTAAACAAAAGTCGAATAAGGTCGCGCCCGTGCACTGCTTTGGCCATGCCAGGTATCACTCTCCCTCTGCCCTTTTGACTTAAACAAAAGTCGAATAAGGTCGCCCCCGTGCACTGCTTTGGCCATGCCAGGTATCACTCTCCCTTTGCCCTTTTGACTTAAACAAAAGTCGAATAAGGTCGCCCCCGTGCACTGCTTTGGCCATGCCAGGTATCACTCTCCCTCTGCCCTTTTGACTTAAACAAAAGTCGAATAAGGTCGCCCCCGTGCACTGCTTTGGCCATGCCAGGTATCACTCTCCCTCTGCCCTTTTGACTTAAACAAAAGTCGAATAAGGTCGCCCCCGTGCGCTGCTTTGGCCATGCCAGGTATCACTCTCCCTCTGCCCTTTTGACTTAAACAAAAGTCGAATAAGGTCGCCCCCGTGCACTGCTTTGGCCATGCCAGGTACTCTCCCTGCCGCCTTGCTCTCTCGATCTTGTTTCCACGCCCTGCTGCTCACGAGCAAATGCTTGGTTGGTGCACTTTCTTGCTTTTCCCTGCATCTGCCTCCTTCACCTGCTCGCAAGTCACGGTTTACTTCAATGGCAGCTCCAAGATCACTCCCATCACTCCCATGTGCGTCTTTGTCTCCAAGATCACTCCCATCACTCCCATGTGCGTCTTTGTCTCTCTCTCCCTCCCCATATCCTCTCTCCCTCCCCATCTCCTCTCTCCCTCCCCCTTCCCTCTCCCCTCCCCTCACCGCAGGCACACGGTGCAGGCAGTAGATGCAGCAACTTTTTTTTTTCACATGCCCCCTGCTATTCCACTTTTCCCCTTTCTCCGTCCCCCTCTCCCCTCCCCTCACCGAAGGTACAAGGTGCAGCCAGTGGATGGAGCAACGGCGCTCTACTTCGCGTGCCCCGTGCCCAGCCACTGTGGGCCGGGCGGCATGAAGGTGCAGGTCAACGTGACGCCGCTCTAGACAGGAAGAACAGCTTCTGAGTCATGTCGATGACACACCACTCTCTTGGCCTCAAGCCGTCACGCTCCGCCCTTCTCCGCTCCGCCCCTCGCCACCCTATGCTGTGCACTCCTCTCCCCTGCGTTCCATCTCTTACACGACCCTCCCTGTTGAATAAGCACCAGGGTTCGTATACCACCTGGTGCCTTGCCCGCTATTCCGCTCCACTGCGCAGCCAGCAGTATGTCACGTATAAAAAGCTGCTCACCATTGCTGCTCGCCTTGTGTCAGTTTTCTTGTCTGCTTGTGGTGGCCTTTCTGGTTGAATCTCGGGTGCTGCTTTTTGAATCTCACACCTGCTTTCAGCATGGTGGATCCAATGGCCGATGTTACGGTAATCCAGACTCCAGAGTGAGTAAGGCTGCTGCAGGAGCAGGGGCATGGTTGAACCATTCTGCCCTCCTTGCTTGTTAATAGTTCTCTACCTGCAGTGTTGATTCTGTTATGTGCAGTAGTGTTGTTTGTACCTCGAAGTTGGTAACATTTATTTTTTACACTCACATAATCGGGACAAAGCTAAGACAATGTGCTGCAGATGTCCTGCATGAGCCTGTAACAAATCCTGCATTTATCAGAGAAACAACTCCAACCCACAGTCAGCATCTAGCATCTGCTTATTGTGCTGCCATGACCCGTATGGTATGACAAATACATCTGTACTACGTCCTGAAGCTACTAGGGTTCTGCAGACAGCACATCCAGCAAGGCCAAGAAGACAAAATAATACAGTACTACTAAGAATAAGAAGAGAAGAAATTGAAGTCAGTCTGTGCAAGTACCTAGTCGTTGGATTGCTACTGCCGAATCATTGGTGGTGTTCTCTAGGCACTGGCGGAGGGGGAGCGAGGGGAAATAGGACTCTTCCCCTCTCTGCGTTTTTGGTTCGACACGTCGGTCAGCCCGTAAAACCGTGCCGAGCCACCAATTTGCCCTCCGAACCAAAACGAAGGTAACTGCCAACAGAACGCTCATTTACCCTCAGGGATGTGCACCCCTTGGAAGCTGCACATTTACCCTCCCCACCTTCCTCCTCAGTGACTCCTCAGGCAAAATTTGCCTCCCTCGCCCCCCCATTCGGCAACCACTCTTCACGGGGATTTGGGACAGATGTGAGAGAGGAGCTGGGGGAGAAAACACCCATCGGAGCCTTCCCCTTCTCGTGCCCGAAATTTCCCACCTTCGGTTGTAGCAGGAGGTGGTGAAATCGGGCCAGGAAACACCCTCGGAACGATCATCATTTACATTCGCCCCCCCACCTCCCCCCTCCGCAGGAGTCACCAGAACACCACCATTAAGTAGCGAGTGAAGGCAACTGCATGTGAACCAGGTACACCGAATCACAGGCGAAATAACAGAGCAACCAAACAAAAAGAGCTCCAGCTCCACAGATCATTGTCTTCCTTTCTCTCGACGCAGCTGTGCTGCTGCGCATCAGCAACACGGCACTTAGGAAGCTAGGAGCAGCCCATATGTCCCACCAACCCACATATAACAGCAGCGCTACATGTGGAGTTAGGGCCAATCAATACAAGGATTTGCATTTGTAATCACAGTACATTGTCCTTCGGTCATCACCCCTGTTACAGTCACTGTCAGCTGTATGATTTTCCCTGTCAGCAGCAGCCCGTCTGCCCCCAGCGCAGGATCCCACCAGTTGGCCATACTCGTTACATTCACACCCATTACAGTCACAGCCAGCCATGGTCCTTGAGGTACTGTAGAGCCATGATGCAGGTGACAACAGAGGCCAGCAGCATGTCCCCTCCCACAGTCACAACCATTACAGCCAGCCGTTATCTTTGAGGTACTGCAGGGCCATGGTGCAGGTGACAACGGAGGGCAGCAGCATGTCTCCACTCAGCGCCATGCCCTGCAGGTCCCCCACTGGCACCCTGTGCACCTCTATGAACTCCTCTAGATCCCTTGGGAGAGGGTCGGAATCGTCCTGTGGAGTGGGGAATTGGAGGGAAGGGACAACAAGGGAGCGATAAGGAGTGAGTGGGTGCTGGTCCCCCACTGGCACTCGTCCTGAATCGTCCTGCACAGTGGGGAATGGGGTTAAGACAGGAGGGGACGAGAGTGACTGGAAGCAGGTTCCCCCTCCCCCATAGACGGCCCACCTCTATCAACTCATCTCCTGCAGCGCCCCAAGCTGCATGGCAAGGGAGCAGCTCAACTTGGGGTAGTGCAGGGCAGGCTCTTCACACCCACACATGCAGCATGGGGCATGCAGCATGGGGCATGCAGCATGGGGCATGCAGCATGGGGGCATGCAGCATGGGTGGCAAACACATTTGTCATCCCCTCTTATTCTTCCTGAGATAGAACGCGAGTGAATTGCTGAGGCAAATGAGAAAGGGAGAACAAGTTATGGGGGTTGACAAGACGAAGCGCAACGGAAGGAGAGAGGGTACCACGCCCACGTGGGAAAGAGGTCCAGAAGTGGGAACGCGAGGGGTTTAAACAGGTCGAAACGAGGACTGGAAAGGTGGGAAGAGGGAGACAGCTAAAGAGCCAGGGAAAGCAACTACCTGAGGTGCAAAAAAAGGGGATGGGTGACTCGGGGGGTGGAAAGCGGGAGGCTGACTGACCTGAGGATCGATGACGAGGAAGGGAGTGAAGCGGTTCTTGCACCACTTGACCTGCCACGCAGCAAGGAAGATGCCACTGGGGCTTAGATCCCACGATTCAAGTTCTCATGGGTTTCAGACCAGCAACTGACATGCCACACAGCGCAGGAGAGAGACACAGCATACTCGTCTCAGATTCAAGCTAATTCTGGAAATGATATTGAAAGACCACTAGACTTGGTAGGCAGCAGTGACAAGAGACGCTAAGCTAAGATGAGCTGATCACAAGGCTGCGTGAAGAGGCAATGCAGGTCCCCTTGCATGGGCTGCACGCACGTGTGTATGGCTGAAAGGGCACGCAGGCAGCTCACACGAAATGGAGCAGGAAGAAATGGATGAGCGTGGAAGGGCGGGAAGTCTCACCTCGAGCAGGCCAGGGTGGTCGTCATCCACGAGCTTGATGAGCTGCCCCCCACACAGCTTCGCCTGGTGCATGCAGGGGCAGCAAGGCATGGGTACTACAAGGTTGCAGGAGAGGCCATGCGACCTGGGTGGAGGTGATACTTGTTGGAGGGAAACAGCAGAGCAGACCGTGCTTACAGTTTTGACCTCACCACTTCCCCCTGTGACTCCACATGCTTCACTCACCTCCACAATGCACCTGATGCTTCACTCACCTCCACAATGCACCTGATGCAGCATCCTCTTGCTGCACGTTCCCGCTTCACCTCCCCTGTCTGCCTTCCCACCTCTAGGGCATCCATGATCCATCAACCTGCAACTCTCAGAACCGTCACCGTCCGCAACTCTCCGAAGGGCGGGTCCAGTGCGTACGTCTCCGGTTCATTCACAGTTTGTACATCGTGGTGTAGAACGATACTAAACAGTGCACGTCGGCTTTCAAATTTCACCGTTTTGCACCGTGACGCAACACGACTAACCGCACCAAAAGTACGCATGGACCTGCCCTAATCAATCAAACCAGTTGCACTTCTCGTCAACATATGAGTCGCTTGTGTGCTCTCTCAGAAGCAACTGAGGAGAGCTCTCAGAACCATCGTCCTTCGCACAGCCCTCATCAATCCGAGCGCATCTCACATCTTTTCCCACACCACCTGCGTCTCACTCACCTCTTCAGACAGCTCTCTGCGTGCGCAGTCCTCCAGGGACGTGTGGTTGTCCGTGTAGCCCCCACACGGCACTGTGTACACCAGTGCATTCGCTCCCTGCGGGAGACAGAGGCGAGGAAGAGGGAGGGAAAGGTGGCGAGCTTTGAGAGGTCTCAAAACATGTACGCACTCCTCCAGGGACGTGTGGTTGTCCGTGTAGCCCTCATATGGCACCGTGCGCACTAGCGCGTGTGCTCCCTGCAGGCCATGCAGGGTGAAGCAGACGGAGGTAGTGAGTTGTGAGACCTCTCGATACACTTGCGTTGCGACCAGTCCTCCAGGGACGTGTGGTTGTCTGTGTTGCCCCCGCGTGTCATCATGTACACCAGCGCATTCGGCTCTCTACGGGCCACAGGATGAGGAAACAGAGAGGGGGAGTGGAGAGGGAGGGAGAGGGAGGGAAAAGGAGGGAGAGGGAGGGAGAGGGGGGTAGTGGGGGAGAGAGGGAGGGAGAGGGAGGGAGAGGGAGGGAGAGGGAGGAAGAGGGAGGGAGAGGGAGGGAGGGAGAGAGAGGGAGAGGGAGTGAGAGGGAGGGAGAGGGAGGGAAAGGGAGAAAAAGGGAGAGGGAGGCAGGGCAGGAAGGCGAGGCAGAGTGGGTGAGGGAGGAGGGAGACAGGCACACGTCAAGAGATGGCTAAAACAGGTGCAAACCCTCTTCCCCCAGCGCACTTCCCCTCACCTCCTGTCATCCTGGACCAGACCTAACATCCCAACCACCACCCATCCATCCATGCGACGACCATCAAACAATGCCAACTGCTCCCTCTTTTCTTGCTACCTAATTCGCCAGGTGCTTAACTTGCTTGTAACCTGATTCGCTTGGTTTTGATTCGCTTGTTCCCTGATTCCCTTGATTCTCGTCCTTCTTGTGCCTACCTGTGCGTATTCCTTCAAAAGGGTAACCGTCTTGGTCTTTGAATGGAACGGCAGCACGCAGACAAAGTGGCACGACTTGGTTTTAGCGGCCACCACATCATACTCCACCACCTGCTGCGGCCACAGCTCCACCCGCTGCTCCCCCTGCGCGCCCTGCACCTGCCCCAGCTCCAGCCCATACCCTATCCACCCGCCCGAGTGCCCGCTGCTGTTCGCTGGCCTCTCCACTGTCACCCCGAACTCCTCCGCTAGCAGACAATCGCCGCCGACCGGCTGCTCGTCTGATGCTGGTCGGGTCATGCTGGCCGGGAGGGTTTGGCCGTTGGGGAGAGGCTGGGGGGGATGCTGCGAGGGGGAGGGGAGGTGGAGATGAGGGGGATAGGAAGGGGGAGGAGGATAGCAAAGGGGAAGAAAAACGGGAGAGGAGGAAGGGGGGGGGAAGAGGAGGTGAAGAGGTCAGAGAAAGGAGAGGGAGAGGAAAGCGAGAGGAGGGATAGATGATGGGGAGAGGGAATGAGTAGGGGGAGAGGACTGGACGGGAGGAGGATGAGGAAGAGCATGAGGCGAGGCAAGGAAAGAGTTGTGGGACGGCGCGACATGAGGCATTGGACGAGGCATGTGATGAGGCACGGGATAAGCATGGGATGAGGCATGGGATAAGCATGGGTTGAGGCACGGGATAAGCATGTGATGCTGCACAGGATGAGCATGGGTTGAGGCACGGGATAAGCATGTGATGCTGCACAGGATGAGCATGGGTTGAGGCACGGGATGAGGCATGGGATGAGGAACGGGATGAGGCACGGGCCCTGGAATGAGGCCTGGGATGATGCATGGGATGTGACATGGGATGAGGCACGGGATGACGCAAGGGATGCGGCTGAGAAAGAGGTGTGGGACGAGGCGTGGGCTGAGGCATGGGAACAAGTCTGAGATTGAGCACAGTATAGTATGAGCCACAATTTTGAGTCAATCAAGTCAACCAGTGCAGGAATGTCACTAGTGTTTAACGGCAAACCCAACGTGGATGACTGGTGGGTTGGCTGGTGTTCACAACTTTCTGCTGCATGATTTCACATGCTAGTAGCAGAACTCATAACTTATCTCCATTTTCAAGAAAAGAGTTTTGCTTCACTACCAACGAAGACACTGCAGCGTGCAACGCGAAACAGACGGCTGACAGAGGAAGTGCCACGCACGTGAGCAAAGAGCTTACCTCGACCACTCGGTTGAAGACATTCAGGTAGCGTGAGAACTTCAGCTCCTCCTGCACAGACAGTTGCACAGATTCAGGAGTACAGACCACAGTTGTATGAGGTTACGCGCATGAGGAAGACATGAGGATACGCGCATGAGGAAGACATGAGGATACGCGCATGAGGAAGACATGAGGATACGCGCATGAGGAAGACATGAGGAAGACATGAGGATACGCGCATGAGGAAGACATGAGGATACGCGCATGAGGAAGACATGAGGATACGCGCATGAGGAAGACATGAGGAAGACATGAGGATACGCGCATGAGGAAGACATGAGGAAGACATGAGGATACGCGCATGAGGAAGACATGAGGAAGGCATGAGGATACGCGCATGAGGAAGACATGAGGAAGACATGAGGATAGGCGCATGAGGAAGACATGAGGAAGACATGAGGAAGACACGAGGAAGACACGAGGAAGACATGAGGAAGACATGAGGACAACAGGGTGCAAATGCAGGAACAAGAATAAAGTGATTTCCGCACCCAGGGAGGACGACAAAGCCACAACAGCACGAGAAATGCAAGATTTGAACGACGACGCATGGGATCAGAGCTCTTTTTGGAAACGGCGAAACGAGTTCTCACCTTGAGGATCTTGAACTCGTACGGCCGTTTGGGTTCTTCTGCAGAAGATAATATCGGTATAGGAAGGTCGCTCGCCACCCCTAGCTCCTCCTCTCCGCCCATCCCCTCCTCTTCCTTCGCCACTGTTTTCTGCTCTCCGTTTTTTCTCCCTAAGGCACTCCCGTTTACAGCTCTTTCAACCCCTCTACCGTTGCTTTTCTCGCTCGCGTCGTCTGCTTCGACTACGAGTAACCCGCTATCGTCGGACCATGCGACTGCTCGCACGCTGTCGCCAGATGCTGTGTCATCTGCTGATAGGTCCATATCCACGTGGTGGTTCGTGATTCGCAGGACAGCGCTCTCTTCTGCAAGCCCGTCTATGTCCGACTCATCCTCAGCTGAACCTGGAAGGAGGGGAAGAAACGACATCAACGGACGCCAAACGCGCTATACGACCAAAAAGGGGAATCGCGGTTTGTTCGTGAAGAATCAATACGGGTCGTTGTAAGAACGAACGCGTAACAAGGGAAAAAATATGTGATAAGACCTCAACGATTAATCTAACACCGAGAAAGGAAACGAGCATGGCATACCTCGATTTCTGGAACCAGCGGCTTGGTGCGGAACGGCGGCCTGCGCAGAGCCGAATGCAACACAGGCAGACCAGTACAGCTTGATATAGTTCTTCTTAAAGGGCACGGCAAGACCTAGAGACCTGGACGTATTATGATGACTCTAGAACGTACCGGGCAAGGCGGGTACTTGAGGTCACTACTCGGGTCCTATATGCGACAGCTGCACATTAGTCAGCTCGCGACAGCGAAGGATAATTCTAGAAGGTACAAACTTGCCGTACCCGACAACGCCACTTTGTTGTGCTGGGTGTTGCTCCTTGCCAATCGCCGGCCGGGGATTGGCCGGTACGGAATAAAGCGGCGGCTGACGAGGAGCTTGACTGGGAATGTCGCTGGCGGTGCTGCGGCCTTCGCCTGAGTGACGTGGATGTCGGGCTGGTTGACCTCGCTCCGGCAGATATTTCTGTCGCCGTGGCGAAGGACGGGAGTTTGAAGTCGCGGACAGAGAAAACTGAGTTAAACGACATTGCTATGGAGAAGGGCGACGGAGTAGTCAAAGCCGACGAGAAACCTCGAACTCACGAACGCGACAGTTAATCTCGGCGCGACGCACATGCCAAACACGTTAAGCTACGATCGTGGTAGTTAGACATAGCGTGTCACGACCTGAATAGGCCAAGCGGTATTGTGCTCAGGCCACAGGCATAACGCGTCACGAAAGTCGCTTTCCCGAACGTCGGAGATTCACAAAGTTGAAAGCGTTATTGCTTCGGTGCGAAAGCAAGACGTGGTTACAGAAACTCACTCTTAGCGCCTCTGGACGCGTCCGGAGCGACGTTTGACAGCAGAGCCGAGCCTCCGCCTACCCCTACAGCAACGGTCTCTCCTACTTTCCACATACAATCCCAGTGATAGCTGTAGCCGAAGCTAAGTTCAAGGGAATGACCAGCTAAGTTCTTAATACTACCTACAGCGAGCTGGTTTCTGTCACACCCGTCTGGAGTTGATGAATTCGAGGTGATTCAGAGGAGACTAGAAAACCAAGGTAGATAGAACCGAGGAGATTCCTAGGAAAGATGGTGGAGAAGACCTATGATGAAACCTATGCTGCTATGTCTGGTTGGTACACGGCAGCATGATCAACGCCAGTCTTTTCTGTTCTCTGAACTTCGGTTTGATATTCTGAACTGTACAGCGAGGCGGCGTGTCCTTGGGTACACCTACACTGATCAAGGCCAGGTTCATCATGAAACGTGAATCCCCAAGCGCACCCTGCTTCAATCTGCGGCGGTCAGCAATCAGCCAACGGCCAAATGAGGGGGGAAACCGAAGCGTAAAACGCCCAGTCGAATGTTGCCACGGAGGACCTGTCTGTCATGGCCTTTGCTTCCTCGAATTACGGCGAATGGATAGGGTGGGATGTTCCAAGGATTCATAACCTTTTAGGTAAGCTGAAGGTTAGATTCAGAACGTAGCCGAAAAGCTGACAGCCTCTAATAATACGTTGCATCGTAAGTGTTCTAATGTGCTGGGTTGGATCACAAGCTGGAAGGAATGCTGGTCAGCAGCCAGAGGTAGACTACTCAAATTACCCCCGGGACTCGGGCTGATTTCTAAGTGTTATTGCTGTTTGCAGTGTTTACAGCTTCCCAAGTGGGTGGTTTCTGTTTCGGCCAAATGCGTCCAGGAAAGGTGGTTGAGTCGAAATTCCCTGGAAAGTAGCCACCATCCTGAAGTGTCCCAGTCAATTGAATGGGCACTTCCGAAGGATGAGGTTCCGGGTTCAAACCCCAGTGCCGGCGTGTTCCGCCAGCCCCCCAGAAGGGGATTTCGCACTGCTCATCTGGGAGTGGATATGCCTTACCTCGATACCCAGCGAGGCGTGTAAACAAGTGGGTAGGCGGATTACGATCGACAGCCGGGGGTAACCCAAAGGGGGCCATTCCCCCCTCCTTTACCTTTACCTTTACCCTGGAAAGTAGCCACCAATATATTTTTCCACGATACATATTGCTGACGTGGAAAGCGCCAGACACTGTGCAACAACCATAGTACACACAAGTGCACGCTAGACTTTGTGTATAGCGTATTTAATATCACTTCCTCCAATGTGCCAAACAGAAAATATAGATACACTGTGCCTAAATAGCTGAAACGATGTGAGGAAGGCCTTCAGAAATGTGATATAATGCACGGATGAATTATGTATGAGGTGTTCTGTTTTAACTTTTGAATTCCTATGTGAGGTGGTCAGACTTGTTTGTAGTGACATAATCTTATGTCTTAGAGGACTACGTTAAATGCCGTTTTTTTCGTGACTTCCGAACTGCTTCTAATAAAATCGCACTATAGTGGATATGCCTCGCTGTCGTGGCCCTCACTCGGCCTGGCATCATGTGGCTGTGAAGCTGGTATCGTGGCTGCTTCTCAGCTGGAGCCTCCTTGCAAAGAGCTGCTAAAACTGTTGAATAGCAGGGCGGAACTGCTTGTCCCGAAACTAGTACAGGTGGTCTCAGTTCATCTGGGCCCACTGCGAGTTCCCGGACTTCAGAACGCGGGACAAACAGCGTCCAACGACGACATTGGGGCTCTTATTCGTAATTCCGAGCATCCGACCTGGTAAAGGTGGCCAGAAATCGGAGCCCTCTCGTTCATCAATTCTCGTGTCGCACAGCGTGATTGAATTTCACGAATGCACGTTCTCGCTTTACCGCGCTTCCTCCCCGCAATTCTCCCTCGTACCCCTCCGTCTCTCGTTACTTTCCGCTTCGTCTCGTCACAGCAGTTAATCGCGTTCATGGCGCCTAAGCGACGACCGCGAGAAATCTCTTCCGAGTCAGACACCTCCGCTTCAGACACCCCTTCGCCGCCTTCCAAAGCTTCCAAAACATCATCAGGGAAACGTCAACGCCAGAGTGAACCTTCCAAGAAACGACCCGCACCAGCCTCAGCAAAGGCCACGGAAACCACCGCAGGGAAATCCTTAAAAAAAACGTTAGGGAAATCTCTAGGGTCCGGGAAAGCCTCCGTAGCCGTAGGATCGTCTCCGTTTGATGCGGAGCCGGCATGGGCGCAGAAGGGCACGGGCGCGGTGAATCCGGGGAGGGTGCGCGAGCTGCGCAAGGGGCTGCGGCGGACGGGGCCTGTGGTGTACTGGATGTCGCGAGATCAACGGTCCAAGGACAACTGGGCTCTCATCTACGCCGTCCAAAAGGTGCAGTTTCAGCTTCACTCTTATTTCTACTTCAACAGGGTTCTGACAGTGATCGTATATAGGTTGTACTTGCAATATATTTCCTCCCTGTCACCCGCCCCGCCCCCTCTGCCCCCTTTCCCCTTCACATCCCCTACCTACTCCTCCTGTTCCCCCTCACCTTAGCGCACACCTCCCCCCCTCGCCGAATTCATTACACAGGCGCAGGAGAGGGGAGAGGCAGCGGGGATGGTGTTCAACTTCGTGGGCGCCTTTACTGGGCGCCAAGACGGCATAGTGGACTCACAAATTTTCCCTTACCCTCTTCTTCCCCCCCGGGCGTCCCCCGTTCCCCTTCCCCCCCTCCCCATGCGCGCACCAGGCGCAAGAGAGGGGAGAGGCAGTGGCGGTGGTGTTCAACCTTGTGGACTCCTTCCTGGGCGCCAAGGCGACTGCTGAGTTGACCCCAACCTCTCTCCTCCCCCCTCCCATTCTCCTCCTCCCGTTCCCCCCTCCCGGTGCGTGCACCAGGCGCGGGAAGGAGGAGAGGCAGTGGCGGTGGCGTTCAACCTCATGGACTCCTTCCTGGGCGCCAAAAGCTTTCCTCTCTTCTTCTCGCCCTTCCCGCTCCCCTTTACCCCCTGCTCTTACTCACACCAGGCGCGCGAGAGGGGAGAGGCAGTGGCGGTGGTGTTCAACCTGGTGGACTCCTTTCTGGGCGCCAAGGCGCGGCACTTCGCCTTCATGCTGCGCGGGCTGAGAGAAGTGCAGGGCTCCTTTGTGGCGCTCGGGATCCCCTTCTTCCTCTTCCAGGTGACTCTAATGAGCGTGCCTGTAGTGGTGGCACTGGGCTGTGTGGGTTTTGGTGGAAACGAATGAAAGCTGTGACAGTCGTGGAGGGTACTGCCCAGATTGGCTCTTGCCTCGGTCCGATTGTCCAGACTTCCTGTTTTCACTTTACAGAAGGCACCGCGTCATTTGCTCACTTCCAATTAAACCCCAGGACAAGGCAAGGCAGATTTGAGGCGCCTCAAAACGAGGAGACAGCCCTGGACTTGCTTGCCCGCCTTTTGAGGCACCTCCAGAGCAGCCATTATGTCTCATTCCACCTCATTCTTCTCTTCCAACCCAACCCCAGGGCAAGGCAGAGGAGACGGTTCCGGATTTCGCCATGCGATGTGGCGCGTCGCTATTGGTCACCGACTTCTCCCCGCTGCGCATCGGACGGCACTGGCGCGAGGGGGTGTGTGCCAGGCTGGCAGATCTGGAGCTCAGCCAATCAGGAAGCGGCAGCAGCAGCAGGCAAGGGGCCACATTAGCAGACAGAGCAGCAGAAGGAGAAGCAGGAGAAGCGGCAGGAGGGAGGGAAGGGGTGGAAGGGAAGGAAGGTGCGGCAGGGAGGGATGAGTTGTGGGACGCGCAGGTGGGGCTGACAGGCGTGCATGAGGTGGACGCCCACAACGTCGTGCCCATCTGGGCCGCTTCAGACAAGTTAGAGTACGCCGCCCGCACCATCCGCACCAAAATACACCGGAAATTGCCGGATTATTTGGTGGAGTACCCCCAGTTGGAGCCGGGGTGCGCGGCAGAGTGGACGGGGGAGAAGCCGGCGCCTGTGGACTGGGATTCGTTAATAGCTGCTGTGATCAGGTGAGAGAGAGACTCGTTATAAGCTGTTGTGATGCGGTGTAGAGCAAGGAAGCTGTTGCCTGTGGTCCGGGACTCGTAAAACAGATGCCCTTCATCTCCCTTTCCCCACGGTATCATCCGTATTACCCGCAGGGCTGGGCCGGAGGGAGCAGAGGTGGACTGGATAGCACTGGGGGAGGCAGCAGCAGCAGCAGTGAGGCTTATCAACCCTTCCTTCAGCACTCTCCTTCACTTTTCAGTGCGTGCTGTGGGCAGGGCTGGCCCAGAGGTTCCAGATGTGGACTGGATAGCACTGGGGGAGGCAGCAGCAGCACCTGAGTCTTATCAACCCTTGGCGTTCCACTCTTCGTCTCCTTGTTATGCGTATTGCTGGCAGGGCTGGCCCAGTGGTACCGTAGGTGGGCTGGATAGTCGCGGGTGAGGCAGCAGCAGCAGTGGGGCTACAGACGTTTCTGGAGAAGAGGCTGAGGGGGTACGACAGTGGGCGCAACGACCCCTCCAAGGGCCCTGCGGCTTGTCTACTCATCTCTATTCTCTCCCATATTCATCCATGTTCCCACCAAGTCTGGTCCCGCGGTACCGGAGGTGGACTGGATAGTGCCGGGGGAAGCAGCAGCAGAAGTGTGTGTTATCAACCGTTGCCTCTCCTCTCTTCCTCGCCTTGTTATTCATGATGGCAGGGCTGGTCCCGAGGTACCGGAGGTGGACTGGATAGTGCCGGGGGAAGCAGCAGCAGCAGCGGGGCTACAGACGTTTCTGGAGAAGAGGCTGAGGGGGTACGACAGTGGGCGCAACGACCCCTCCAAGGGCCCCACCACGCTGTCAGGGCTCTCCCCCTGGCTGCACTACGGCCACATTGCCCCCCAGCAGTGTGCTCTGGAGGCCAGGAAGCTGCGGAAGCAGCACAGCAAGGTGAGAAGGGTGGTGAGGTGAGGAGCAGAGTGAGATAAGGGTGGTGAGGTGAGGAGCAGAGCGAGATAAGCAGGGCTGCAGTGGCGCCTGGATTCTCCCTTCGCTCCGAGCCTCGGGATAAGTGACTGAAGGGGTACGACAGTGGACGCAACGACTCTCCAAGGGGCCCATGGCTCTGTCGGGTCGGGACTCTGCCCCTTCAAATCTCGCTCCTTGTTCCTTCTCCTCCCAACCCCCCTTCCCCCCCTCCCCTCCCGTCCCTTCAGTCAGTGGACGCCTTTCTAGAGGAGCTGGTGGTGCGCAGGGAGCTGGCGGACAACTACTGCTTCCACCAGCCGCACTACGACTCGTTGTCGGGCGCGTGGGAGTGGGCGCAGCGATCGCTGAATGAGCACCGGGGTGACAAGAGAGAGTTCGTGTACACGTGAGTGGCGTGGGAAGGGAAAGGGGGAGCGGAAAGGTGTCTTCTGTGCTTTCGCCAGCCGCTGTATGACTCGCCGGGGGGCGCGTGAGTGCGGTGGGCGGAGGAGGGGAGGCAAGGGTGAGCAGATGGGGCGGGGGAGGCACCAGCCGCAGTGTGAGTCGCTGTGGGGTGCATGGCAGTGGGTAAGTAAGAGTTGAAGCTTGTGCGCATGTGGGTGGAAGCTTGTGGCACGTGGGTGGAAGCTTGTGGCACGTGGGTGGAAGCTTGTGGCACGTGGGTGGAAGCTTGTGGCACGTGGGTGGAAGCGGGTGGAGGGGCTGTGGTTTGCGTGCATCTGTGTGAAGCTCGATTCGTTAGGCACCATAATTTGGGAGGGGAGTTGCCACTGTATGATACGCAGGCCTAACATACAGTGGGGAATGGTATCGTACCATTCATGCTTGTGATGCTGTGTGTCGCATAACTGCCTTGCTGTGTCACACATCTGCCTTGCTGTGTCGCACATCTGCCTTGCTGTGTCACTATTGCAGGGCAGCACAGTGGGAAGCAGCCAAGACTCACGACCAGGTAACTAGTTATATGAAGCACTGGTGACATTGTTGGCTTGGCAGTGGGCGAGCTATCACTGGTGAATTGAAGAAGTGGTTTCCTCCATGATCCTCCATGGCATCTCGCTTCCTATGTTCTGCTGTGTGCTGCTGTGTGCTGCTGTGTGCTGCTGTGTGCTGCTGTGTCGCATTCTTCACCCTTTAAACCTTCCCTCCCTCTCATGACCTTCCCTCCGTTGGTCTCTCTTTCTTCAACGGTTTGTTACCCCTCTCCCCACACACACCCCACCCCTTGGCCCTGCCTGTCTTATCATCCCCCCCGTCCTGCACCACATGCCAGTTGTGGAACGCGGCTCAGCTCGAGCTGGTGCACTATGGCAAGATGCACGGTTTCATGCGGTGAGATGTGAAATCTTTGCGGTGAGGCATGGTTGATGCGGTGACACTCTGTTCAGCATGGTACGGTGTGGAGAAACCTGAGTTTTTTTTTTTTTTTTAGCATTGTTTTTTTTCTTTAAATATATATATATATGTATATATATATATATATTTTCGGTGGACGGCAGCTTGTACTGGGCAATTATCAAAGTCACACCTTTCTCACTTTTCCCCTCTCCCCGATGGCAGCATGTATTGGGCGAAGAAGATTCTAGAGTGGTCTGAGTCGCCAGAGGAAGCTCTCAGAATAGCGATCGAGCAGAACGACAAGGTGAGTGGACAGGGGTCGTCATGAGCTGCGTGGAATAGCAAATGATGGCAAGTGGCACTACTTTTCTACGTGTTGTTTCCAAACTGTTCTTCGTGTTGTTCCAAACTGCCCGACTCCTCTTGACTTTCCCTTGTCCATCAGACACTTTCATGTTCTCCACTTCTCTCCTCTCTTCTCCTCTCTCCTCCTCTCCTCTCCTCTTCTCTCTCCTCCTCTCCTCTCCTCTTCTCTCTCCTCCTCCTATTTTGCTCCGTGCTAGATGTTGCTACCACCCCAATTGCCAGCTCGCCTTCACGCTCCCTCATTGTGCCCCCCCCCCCCCCCCCCCTCCATCCCCATCGACATCCCCACCCCCATCCTCACACCCACCCCCATCCTCACACCCACCTCCATACCGTATCCCCATGTCCCAACCCCATGTCTTTCTTTCCATCGCTCCCCCCATCCCCATTTCCACCCCCACCCTATCCTCATGTGTTGCCCACATCCCCCCCCCCACAGTACTCATTGGACGGCCGGAATCCCAACGGCTGTGTTGGCTGCATGTGCTCTATGCCTACCCCATCCCCGCCATCCTCCCCCTATCCTCCCCCTATCCTCCCCCCATCCTCCCCCTATCCTCCCCCTATCCTCCCCCCATCCCCGTCCGCATGTGATGCCCACACCCCCCCCGCAGTACTCATTGGACGGCCGGGATCCCAATGGCTACGTTGGCTGCATGTGGTCAATTGCAGGCGTGCACGACCAGGTACGGTGAATCTCAGCCTGTGAAGTGCACGAATCCCAGCCTGTGAAATGCACGACCAGGTACGGCGAATCTAAGCCTGTGAAATGCATGACCAGGTACAGTGAATCTCAGCCTGTGAAATGCAGGTGCCAGTAAGATATATCTGTATTAAGACGTCTCAACCTCAAAACAGAGACGGTAAATCTCAACCTGGTGAGTGCTTAGTGCTCCCTCTCTCCTTCCCATTAGAACACAAGATGATTTGGCAATGTCTGGTAATGGATGCAGTTGGGTGCAATTGGGTGTAAAGGGGTGCTTTGTTCAGCACTCATTCCACTTCCCTCGTCCCCTACCTTTCCTTCCTTTCCCTGCACTATCAGGGCTGGGCAGAGCGCAAGGTGTTTGGCAAAATTCGTTATATGAATGCAGCAGGGTGCAAGCGCAAGTTCGACGTAGAGGCTTATATAGGGTACGTGCGACGCATGGTGGCTGCAGTGAAAAAGAAGGGAAAAGCTGCTGATGCTGCTGTTCCCACTGGCGGTGCTGCTGCCTCCCCTGCTGCCACTGCCAATGCCACCACTGCAGCTGCTGCTCGTCTCAGGACAGGAAAGCTTACATCATGAGCGATACATGGTTGTTGTATAGAAGAAACACAGGCCTGCTGCTGACGCTGCTGTTCGCACTGGCAGTGCTGCTGCCTCGCCTGCTGCCACTGTTGCAGCAGCTGCTTCACTTCGAGCAGATAAACCCAAGTAGTAGGCAGCCATGAGGATTGGTTTAGGGTTATAAATGGGATTCCATGCCTCTGCTGTGCACATACCATACATTCTAGCACACAAGATTTGCACTGCCTCAATACAGGTAATAATTTGCAGCGCCGTCGTTTGCAGCAGAATTCTGTCTAATGACATGGTACATGCCGTGCAGCGAATCAGAAAGCTCTGAGCTTCCTTAATACTATCACCAATCGCCAACCTCCTCTTTGATAGCTGCTAGAAGTGACACCAGAGCCACCTGCAGAGATGAGCAGGGACGAGCAGGGATGAGCAGAAATGACCAGAAATGGGGCGAAAGGGGGCGAATGAGCAACACAATGCAGACGAGGTGGGGACGAGCACAGCGCGATGGTGGCCAACAGCAGAACACAGCAGTACAAGAGCGGGACGGAACAGGTGGGCTGGAAAGAGCGGTTCAACTGCGGGACAAAGCGGTACAGTGTGGTTCAGCGATGTAGTGTGCTCATGCGGACTCACATCGGTGCGCAGTGGCTTGTGGCCAATGGCCACTTGGCGGAAGCCCAGGCGAGCAAAGAGGTGTAACTCGTAGGGTAACCAGCCGCCCTCCGGCCCCACTGCCAGCACCACATCGTAGCAGGCGCGGAGTTTGGGTGGGAGGAGGAGCTCTGTGATAAGATGGGATGGGATGGGATGGGATGGGATGGGATGGGATGGGATGGGATGGGACGGGACGGGACGGGATGGGATGGGATGGGATGGGATGGGATGGGAGGAAGAAGGGCAGCAACAAAAGCCTCTTTTCAAGCAATTTAGATCCTTCCTCTCCACTGCAAGCACCGTATGAAGGGCAGAGGGAGGGCGGGAGGAGTTGCTCTGGATGGGAGGGAGGAGGGAGGAGGGAAGGGAAGGGAAGATAAGGAGTTTTTTTCCAGTTGTTTCAATCCTCTTCAGTCAGACCCACTGCTAGCACCCTCTCGTAGGCTGAGTAGAGACAGGGAAAGAGGAGGTGCTGAGGGATGGAAAAGTGGGGAAGAGTACCTCCCCCTGAGGGATGGAAAAGTGGGGAAGAGTACCTCCCCCTGAGGGATGGAAAAGTGGGGCAGAGTACAGGCGGAAGAAGGCAGAGGTTGGGAATACTGAAAGGGGGAGCAAGGAGATGACAGATGGAAGGAGGGAGTGACGGATCGGCGAGAGAGTGAGGATGGCTACAAGGGACCTCACCATGCCTCACCATGCCTCACCATGCCTCACCATGCCTCACCATGCCTTTTCACTGCCTCACGGATGCTTGTTGACCTCCCGCTCCTCCCTCCACCACCGGTATCCTCCTTATTATCCGCTGCGTTTGCAGCAGCAGCCTCCCCACCACCACCACCCTCCTCTGCTGCGCCCCCTGCCCTTCCCTCTGCCCTTCCCACTGCCCTGCCCACTGTTTCGCTGCTTGGGTGCGCCAGCAGCAGCAGGGTCCCAGAGGAGACTGGAGGTACGAGAGGTGGAGATACGAGAGGTGGAGATACGAGAGGTGGAGATACGAGAGGTGGAGATACGAGAGGTGGAGGCACTGTGATGGTATTTGCAGGAGAATCAGGCTGAGGATCATCAGTAGGAGTAGAGGACAGAGTGACAGGAGGGGCAGTATCATGATTCGAGTCACTGCTGTGCGCAGCTGCTGATTGGTCCAGCTGGCTCTGCCGTTCCAGAGAATCCAGGTGTGGGAAGAGGAAGGTGAAGAGAAGCTTCTTCAGCTGCAGGTGAACGGACACCGATGGAAAATGTGTGTCACCGACCTGTGGGATGGGGACACGTGGCATGTGTGTCAGGAAAAGTGGAGCATGGCAGATGTGGTGTTTGCTGCAGCGGCATGTGTACCAAATGGAAGCATGCAGCTGCAGCTCAATGTCAGCTCAGCATAGCATACCGCATGGCATGGCATGGCATGGCATGTCAGTGCGTGGGAACGTGCCGTGCCTCTAAGGAGAGCAAGCACTCTGTCGCTTCGCTGCCCTCCCAGCACTCAACCGCACCGCACACAACCTGCAGCAACCAATCAGTACACAATCATTCCCTCCAATCCAACCGTTTCTCTCACCTGCTCTGCACCAATCAGCAGCTCCTGGCGAACAACTTCGGGCAGCAGCGCCTGGCTGTCGAAATAAAACCTTTCGACCCGGGCAGCGTTGCAAATCATCACGTCCTGAAGGGCAAACTGCCCGAGAATAGACCTGCGCTGTTGTGACGTCACACCCACACCCCCATGCACGCAATAGCAAACATGCGCATGGGTATTGGAACGACTTGAACTCGAACCATATGAATCGATATCATGCCGGTATCACTTTTAAGGGTTCAAAAGAAGTCATGCGGCGGCATACTGTTTCGGGACGATGCACAAACGACGGCATTGGCTATTGGAGCACCCGGCACGCCCTGAATATGAATGGGTTCGACCCACAACAGACATTTCAAGACGGGATTGAAAAGCACGCTGCTCTGCCTCTGCTCCCTTTGAGCCTACCATTAACACGCTTCTTTAAAGGCCCACCAATTGCCAACATGTATGCCCTGCCCTTTCCTCCCCCACTCCCCCACTCCCCCACTCCCCCACTCCCCCCTCTCTCACCAGAGTCGCCGCATGGCCTTGGGTCGCGGCATGGCGAGGAGCAGCCGCAGCCTGCGCTGTGGTGATGTGGCTCGCTGTGATTGGTGGGATGTGGGAGCTGGTGATTGGTGCGCGGAGAGGGAGGAGGAAAGGAGGAGACGTGAGGCAGAGTGGTGGGGTTTGGGAGAGGAGGAGGAGGAGGAGGAGGAGGAGGAGGAGGAGGAGGAGGAGGAGGAGGAGGAGGAGGAGGAGGAGGAGGAGAAGTGGAGAGGGGTACCGGTGCTGGTTCTAGCTGTTGCTGTCCTGGCTGCTGCAGAAACGGTCACACCGGACCCACTGGTAACACCAGAAGTTTCTTGGAAGTTGCACTGCAGCAGGAAACCAACATCATCATCATCATCACTAAAACCGCCCCTCTCTCCCCCACAGTCACCACCATCATTCGTGTGGGGTTCACTGCCGCCCCTCTCTTCCCCCCTCCTCTCACTGCGGGTTATCTGGTAACCAGATAACCCGCGCCTAGTCTTCATCCCCTCCTTTGCCTCCTCGCCCCCCTCCCCACCCTCCGCCCTTTCCTCCCCGCCAGCCCCGCCCTGCTTTTCTCTGCTGCCCCCCTGCCTGGCACAATGCGCACAACCTGCAGAGGGGGAGGAGGTTGAGGAGGGGAAAGGCGGGTGAGGGGGAGGGGGGAACAGTGCATAAGCGACAGTCACAGCCGGTGCAGCACCAGCAGTCGCAAGATGATCTCAAAATGATCACTGCCCTATACCATCTGGTTACAAACCCGCACTGTGGCTCTGCCCCCGCCCAACAGGGAATTCACTGTGCCGCCCAACAGGGAATTTACTGTGCCGCCCAACAGGGAATTTACTGTGCCGCCCAATAAGGTATTCATTGTGCTGCCTAGAAGCACTCACTGTAGCAGTGCCGGCAGGGCCGTTCACGATGCCGACCCGAACCTTCTTCCCCACGCCTGCCCGCAACACGCGCCGTATGTGGCGGGCGCGCGAATCAGACGCTACCAGCTCGATGCTCCCATCCCGCCCCACCTCGTGCGGCTCAAACAGGATTCGGTTGCGCGACTCGACCTGCAGCACTCTGGACGCGCGATTGCCGTCGGAATGCTCCGACCACCCGCCGCGCCGCGCCGGCAGCCTCCGGCGATTCGAGCTCCGCGGATGCCTCAGATAATTGCTTGCGGTACGTGTTAATGCGCCGAGACTCTCCGCATGCGCGCTCTGCTGTGCGTTGGCGGGGTGGTTCTGCGCGCAAAGTGCCATTCGTTGTCGCGCTGTCGGCGGACGCGGCGCGTGCGCGTGAGAGGCTGCGCTGGGCTGCAGAGCGGTGGTGGAAGCATGAGGCATTTCGCGCGGGAAACGCCGCGAGGCGGTATGAAGCATGGCTGGAGCGGACTAGGCGCGAGCCTGTGTTTGGCGGTGATGCGATTGTGATAATCATTGTGTGATTCTATTTTCCATGCAGGAAAACCCCGAACCTGTGAGGCGATTTTTGTACCGAATAGAACCTAACAATGACGAGGAAAAACATGTTCCTTGACAGGAAATTTCGACGGCGAAACCACTCAGTGGGTATCCCGGCACTGATTGGTTGATCCGACTGGTTACTCGAAGTTCCAGCAGCTTCTGCTGCCCTGTGGGGAAACCTGGCGAAGCAACACCAAACTGAGGTCGAGTGAAGCAACACCAGAATGAAACTGAGCAGATACCGGGTTACCCTCCGCAAAATTTTCCCTCTCGAAGAAAAGCACGAACGTGCGCACCGCACAGCCGACCACTGAGGCTCCAGCAAAACTCCGCTGGTGAAACCGAACAAGTGATGTATGGGTTGGGTTGGGTGGTGCTTCTTCAAAAAGCAGAAACTGCTCCTCTTCTGCACCGCTCTCCACCCATGCAGCCCCTCGCATCACTCTTGACTCGAACAAACCTTGCCCCTTCGCCTCGCCCCTCTCCTGCCTGCCGAGAGAATGACTCCAGTGGCCAATAAGGTGATTCACCATCCCTCGCGTGGCCACGAATGACTCGAGTGGCCACCAAATTTGGTGATAATGACTCGAGTGGCCACGCCAGGGGATTCTAGCTGCCTTTTTTTTCTTCGGCGCATTACCCTACGGGGCTTTGTAGTCCCGAAATTCCCCATTCGTGCGAGGGTTATGCTTAGGTAGTGTACATAACCATTGACCACCCGAAATTTTCGCCAGAGTGGCGGGCGCGAACGTGGCCCGCCCACTGTACAGGAAACCGACAAATATTCCGAACAATAGTGTTTGCGCGACCAATTTCGAGCTAATGCGCGACCAAATTCCAAACCAATCAGCGATCGAGCATATTGCACCGCGATCATATATTTCTATGACCCGAAACTTGCCGTCACAGCAAAAATGACCGCGCATGATTGGTCAAGATTTATGCGCGGTGCTATTGTGACCATTACGCGTCCAATCAAGCACAATCATTAAGGTTTGGCGATCATATTTGAACGCGTTCATTTATACACAATTTCCTATATGATCCCGCCAATCATGTACTGAAAACACTCGCACAAAAGTTAAACTCTAGCCAATTAGGTTCGTATTAAGGCGCTCAATCTTGTTTGGTACGCTCTTTCCATCTTCCCGCGCTTGAATTTGTTTCATGACCGTGTGCAGGGGCAGCAGACGACATCATTGATGCCTTCCTAGGTCAAGCAACGCAGTAAATCCTGTGACATTTGGTGATACTGGAATTGCGTGATCCGTAAACATAAAAACAATCTACTTAAACTATGGTATACATGCGTAGATCATAACCTGACATGCCAATAGATACATATGCATAGCAGTATAACCCTCCGCCTCTGCCTGCCACATGAAAGGTGTTCACAGTGTTATCTAGATTAATGGCAAAACAAATCTTAAGACAGTAGCCACGACGTACCTAATATACTCAGGGAGAATAAACTTTTGGATTTTCTGTTTACGTTTTATAAGCTCACTAAACACCATAAAAAATGCGCGCATATAAAGGTTATTGCGCGGCCTTATATAATATATGACTGCGCCTTTGTTTGGACGTTCTTTGATTGGACGCGCAATGTCTAGTCATATCCTACGAACAAGACAAACCAATCACGCGCGGTCATCTGATTTCTCGCGAACCGACGGCCGATCATTTCAGTATATGATCGGGAACTATACGATGGCACCTGATTGGACGCGCATATCTCCTGACCAATCGAGCGCGGTGGTTTTTGCAGTGTCGGTTCAATTTGGGTCAATTGCAGTATATGATTGCGAAGTCATAAGCTCGTTCGCTGATTGCATGTGAATTATATTGACCGCGCGCTCATTTGTCGAGCATTTGGCCGAAAATGACCGGTCAGTGCACTGTTGGTCAATGTACAGTGAGCGGGCCACTTTCGCGTCCGTGACCCTGGCGAAAGTTTCGGGTGCGGAACAGAATGGAACACTACCTAAGGATAACCCTCGCACGAATGGGGAATTTCGGGGCTACAAAGCCCTGTAGGGTAATGCGCCGAAGAAAAAAAAAGGCAGCTAGAATCCCCTGGCGTGGCCACTCGAGTCATTAAAACCAAATTTGGTGGCCACTCGGAGTCATTCGTGGCCACGCGAGGGATGGTGAATCACCTTATTGGCCACTGGAGTCATTCTCTCCCTGCCTGCCCCTACCTGCCTGCCTGCCTGCCTGCCTGCCGCGCCCTCAGCATCTGCCCCTGTGGCCTCGCCCTGCAATCTGCCTGCCGCTGCCACTACAGTACAGCTTCGGGGGTGCTGCCAAACATCACTTGCCTGTACGTCAGGCACCACCAAGCATCGAATGGCAGACATTAGCCTGCTGCAGTTGACCTGTCGGCTGGTGAGCTGGCTGTGACATAGGTCGCCCGTTAACGTTTCTTCCTCTGCGCAGAATAATCGGAGGCAGCTGACGATGTCGTTAACGGATTCGACATGTCTCTCGTTTCGAGACGCCGCGTTTCTTCCCGCCACGCTGCCCCATTCGCAAAACCAGCCCGACAGGCCAGGCTCAGACTCATCAAATAGCGGACTGAGTCATTCGAATCAGCGTGTGGGCTTTACATATGACGAACGTTCGGACATAGCCAGTCCCGAGGCCGACTCTGGTAGCGTCGTCGCACACCCGCCCGTATCCTCCGACATTCGCGGGGCCGACAGCGACGGCAACTTGCAAGGACGCAATGCCGCTGCTGAAAACTCGCCGCTACAGCCATCCGAAAGCGGTGGCTCCGAGTTCGTAGTATCACCTTCCGCGCGGCTGCCGTCTTTCTCCTTCGACACTCCGGCGGCAGAAACGCCGAGAGGACTCAGCGCGCCGCGCGAGGATGCATCGGTGACTTGCCAGTCGGGAGTGATAACAGTCGGGGAGGATAGTCCCGACGCGTCGCCCGAGTCCGCATTGACTCGTCTGAAAGTCGGTCCCGATTTGATGCTTCCCCTGGGAACCATGGCACACTATTCGCATCGGAAACTGTCGCGAATGTTGGCGAAAAAGCACAGTGACGGCGGCGAAGTTCGCGTAGTCGCCAGTTCGCCTTATCGCACCTTCCCGTCGCCCGACTCGCCCTCCCCACAGTCGCCTTCTCTGAGCGTAGTTGTCGCGGCCGACCCGAGTCGCGCCGCCATCTTGCCGCCAACGTACCTCGATCTCGCGTCGCCCCGCTGGAGAGTCGGCTTCAGCGGAAACCGCCATGTGATGGGTTTCACTGGGCGGCGCCGCGCCGCGGATCTGCAGATCACTTCCCCCGCGGCGGGCTCCACCCAACGAGCCTCCGCCGCCGTCACCGCCGCCGCCGTCAACGTCGCCGCAGCGGCTTTGAATCCCAACCTCGGTTTCGGATCGGGGGGGTGCGCGGGCCGACCGCTGGTTGATGATGAAGAAGAAGAAGAAGAGGCGGATGATGCGGGGAGGCGCGCGAATAGAAGCGCGAAATCGGTCAAGGGGGAGGCGATGAACAGGGCGCTGCCCCGAGGGGGGCATGCAGGTTCCCCAAACCCGTGCTCTCCGCGCGAGTTCAGCCGGCAGAACGCGCACAAGTTTCCGCCGCTGATTGCGCTGAAGGATGCGCAAGCGGTGGTGGAGCGGATGATGGCGGACGCGGAGGGCGGAACGGGGAAAAGAAACAGGGTCGCGGGGAGCGAAAAGGGGAAGAGTGAAGGACCGTGGGAAATCGTGGTGGACCCTGTGGGAGCGGTTTGTGTGGGCGGCGATAGATCACAGGACAAAATATCAACGTCAGACTCGCTGCACGCGTCACGTGGCGGAGTCAGGGCGGACGGTTCAGATGACAGGTACGTGCGACGATTCGAGACGCGTTTGCAATTTCAGGTGCGAGACGAGACGATACGACTAGACTCGTTAACATAGAAAGGGGTGGCTAATCACAGTAGCATCACTGCTCAATCGTTGTTAGACCCATTGTGTCATTGTGAACTTAGTTCCTAGGAGCGCACTACTTCATTTCACAATGAAAGCGCAAACACGCAACATATGCCATTGCCATTGTGGTTGTCTCACGTGACTGTCTGTGTCATGTGACTCTCTGTTTTTTGTGTCTGTCTGTTTCATGTGACTTGTTTCATGTTGCTGATTCACGTGACTGTTTTACATGGGGCTGTGATGCGGTCGTTTCAAGTGGCTGTTTCCTTTCACATGTGACTGTTTCCGTGCGACTGTTTCATGGAACTGGTGTCTTCCGTGTGGGGGTTTTATGTGGTCGTTTCATGATTTTCGTGTGGCTATTTCATGTTGCTGTTTCATGCGCCTGTTTTCATCTAGTTGTTTCATCTGACTTGTCCTGGGACGTCTCAGCACAGTTATTCCGCCTGTAACTACCTTCACTTGATGTGTCTTCAGGTGCAGCGGGCGTGCTTCATCCCTTTCCCCTCGTCCAGCTGTCATTAGAGTAGTGGACCACCTGCCTGACGTGGCATGTTCTGACGTGGCAGTGGAGGGGAAGCCGTGGGAACAGGCTGAGCTGGCAATGAAGGAATGGACAGCAACAGTTGCCATGCTGGTGAGTGTGGGGTGCATGTTCCAGGTGGGAGAAGTGGGGCCGATGGAAAGGGGGTTTGTTGGGGTTTTAAGGGGTCAAAGCTGGGAAGCTAGTATTCACCTGTTTCCATCTTTAAGGCGTCTATCTTTTTGTACGTGCTTGCATGGTGGTGTCCTGTACACTATGCGGGTAATGATGTAGCGGGTTTTTTAGATTGAGATTGGACGACTTGTCTTCAACCCGTCCCTGTCTCCGCACAAGTATTTCGTCTGCTACCCTTTCCACTGCCCAACCAATCAGATGGCAGCGCTGCTGCATGACGACGTCACTGCCACTTCTACTTGTGCTGCTGCAGCTTCTTCTGGTGCTGCAGCTGCAGGTGCGGGGGAGGAGGGGCAAGCTGTCACGAAGAGCACGGCAGATACGGACGAGCCATCTGCTCTTGTTTCCCCACCATCGCCCCGCATCCCGCCCCTCTCCGTCAAGCTTCCCCTCAACGCATTCTCACGCCCTAGGCCGCGCAAAGCCACGTCACTCTCTCAGCAGGCCACGTCACCATCACAACAAGCCACGTCACCCTCTCAGCATGCCTCGTCACCCTCACAGCACGCCTCATCACCTTCAGATCAGGCCTTCACCCAGCCGAACGCGCTGAATGTAGATCCAAGCCTCTGCGCACGGTCAGATGTACCTCCTGCCGCTCCTGCTGCTGCTCCTCCTGCTCCTGGCGCTGCTGCTGCAGCTGAGAGCATGGAGAGCACGTTGCAAGACTCGTTCTATTTGTGCCATTCCTCCCTCTCCTTCTCATTCGCGTCCGACAGCTTCCGCAGGAGCACCAGCAGCAGTAACAGTGGTTGCACCACCAGCACTACAGCCAGCAGCACAGCAGCAGATGTCGCAACGATCCACCCAGCACCACCCACCATAGCAGCAGCACCAGCAGCACCAGCAGCAGCAGCAGCAGGTGCAGCAGCAGCAGCAGTGACCATCTCCCTCTCTTCCATCTTGGCTCATCTCGTCTCCAATGCCCGCACTCTCGCTGACCCTTCCTTGCCTCCGGGCAGCCTGCGCAAGTCTCTGCTGCTCGCAGAAATGTTTGTTGCTGCCCGTTGGTCTGCGCCTGTGGTAAGCAAGAGTCAGAAAAAAAAACTGGGGCATTACTAAAGTACACAAGCCTCTGGGTCTCTGAGTGTATTTTTGAGTCGACTCAAAAATAGTATTTCGTGCTTCCCTTGTTAAAATACACTTCATTCAGTACCCTGCATGCAGTGCACTACAGGTATTAAACCACAGGTGTATTTATTAAATCAACTCAAAATACACCACACCACGCGCATCTCACCACATGCTCTCTCTCTCTCTCTCTCTCTCTCTCTCTCTCTCTCTCTCTCTCTCTCTCTCTCTCTCTCTCTCTCTCTCTCTCTCTCTCTCTCTCTCTCTCTCTCTCTCTCTCTCTCTCTCTCTCTCTCTCTCTCTCTCTCTCTCTCTCTCTCTCTCTCTCTCTCTCCACCGCCCCCACTCCACCGCTCGCACTCCACTTGCATTTTGACACGCATGTCCCTGCATCCACTGATACCATATCGTACCACCATGATCTCATCTCACTCACTATCGTGTCCGCTTCTTTCCCCTCTCCTCTTCCCCCCCTCACCCACCTTCTCAGTTTGAAGCCTACCTGGGAGACAAGCCAGGGGGACACGAGTTGGCATCTGATTGGTCGACGCAGCTCCCAAGGCGTCTAGCGGAGGGTGTGCTGGGGGCGTTTGAGTGGGTGGCTGTGGGGCTGGAGAGGGCAGCAGCAGCGGCAGCAACAGCAGCAATGCCGACACGCACCAAGATCTCTACCAGGTATATAGAGAGCTTGCTTCCGAGGTGCGTGCTGGGGGCGTTTGAGTGGGTGGGTGTGGGGCTGGAGAGGGCAGCAGCAGCGGCAGCAACAGCAGCAGCAGCAATGCCAACACGCGCCAAGATCTCTACCAGGTAAAGAGAGAGCACTAGTTTCCTGGATGCCTCATATGGGTCGTTGCAGGGGCCTAAAAGGCCTGCTGCGCCAGAAGCAGTGGCGACAGCAGCAGCAGCAGCAGTGCCAACACGCACAAAGATCTCTACCAGTTTTGAGAATTCTCAAAAGTGGATCTCTACCAGTTTTGAGAATTCTCAAAAGTGGATCTCTACCAGTTTTGAGAATTCTCAAAAGTGGATCTCTACCAGTTTTGAGAATTCTCAAAAGTGGATCTCTACCAGTTTTGAGAATTCTCAAAAGTGGATCTCTACCAGTTTTGATAATTCTCAAAAGTGGATCTCTACCAGTTTTGAGAATTCTCAAAAGTGGATCTCTACCAGTTTTGAGAATTCTCAAAAGTGGATCTCTACCAGTTTTGAGAATTCTCAAAAGTGGATCTCTACCAGTTTTGAGAATTCTCAAAAGTGGATCTCTACCAGTTTTGAGAATTCTCAAAAGTGGATCTCTACCAGTTTTGAGAATTCTCAAAAGTGGATCTCTACCAGTTTTGAGAATTCTCAAAAGTGGATCTCTACCAGTTTTGAGAATTCTCAGAAGTGGATCTCTACCAGTTTTGAGAATTCTCAAAAGTGGATCTCTACCAGGTAGAGGGAGCTTCTTGTCTTTATCGCCTCTTTGGAGAGCTTGTGTTTAGGCTGCCTTATTAGTAGAGTGGGTGGCTGTGGGGCTGGAGAGGGCTGCAGCGGCTGCTGCAGTGGCAGCAGTGCCAATACGCACAAGGCAGTCCGCCAGGTAGAGAGAGCGCATGTTTTTGAGGGCCTCTTGAGGGGGCGCCTTATGAGTAGAGCTTGTGTGTGTGTGTGTGTGTGTGTGTGTGTGTGTGTGTGTGTGTGTGTGTTTGTGTGTGTGTGTGTGTGTGTGTGTGTGTGTCCTTTTTTTGTGAGCCGCCTAAGAAATAGAGTGTGTCATTGTGGGACAGGAAGTGGGATGCCAGCTAGAATCTCTTGAGGCGCCTCATTAATCTCCCCATTCACTTGCAGCAAGCCGACAGCTCAGCTGCCCATTGAACCAACTCCCCCGCCCCCCTTCCCTCACCTATCCCAGGCAGCAGCTGGCCTCCCTTCTCCTGTCACCGCGCCATAAGGCCACGCCACTATGTGGAGTTTACTTTGAGAATTCTCAAAAGTTTTCTCCTGTCACCGCGCCATAAAGGCCACGCCACTATGTGGAGTTTACTCTGAGAATTCTCAAAAGTTTTCTCCTGTCACCGCGCCATAAAGGCCACGCCACTATGTGGAGTTTACTTTGACAATTCTCAAAAGTTTTCTCCTGTCACCGCGCCGTAAGGCCACGCCACTATGTGGAGTTTACTTTGAGAATTCTCAAAGTTTTCTCCTGTCACCGCGCCATAAGGCCACGCCACTATGTGGAGTTTACTTTGAGTATTCTCAAAAGTTTTCTCCTGTCACCGCGCCATAAGGCCACTTCACTTGTCTCCAAGCCACTCCCTTGTTCAAACATGGCCACCACTTAGTCCCCCTTCCCCACCCCCCACTTCCCTCCCCTTCCCTTCCCCCAGGCAGCAGCTGGCCTCTCTCCTCCTCTCACCGCGCCACAAGGCCCTCCGCTTGTCTCAAGGCCAACCCACACTTAGCCCCCCTTCCCCTTCCCCCTCACCCCTCTCCTCTCCCTCCCCTCCCCCAGGCAGCAGCTGGCCTCTCTCCTCCTCTCACTGCGCCACAGGGTCGTTCCGCTTGCCTCAAACTCAAAATCATCCACCCTTGTTCAAGCAAATCCCCCCTCCCCACCCCTTCCCTTCCCCTTCCTTCCCCTTCCCTCCCCCTTCCCTTCCCCTTCCATTCTCCTTCCCTTCCCCCTCCCTTCCCCCAGGCAGCAGCTGGCCTCTCTCCTCCTCTCACCGCGCCACAAGGGCCCTCCGCTTGCCTCCCCCCGCAGAGCGTCCCCCCCTCTCCTCTCCCCCCGAAGGGCATCCCCGCCATTCCGCTCCCCCCGCAAGTCGTCCCCCCCGCCCGCCCCTGTATGCGCCAGCTCCTCCCCCGGGGGCGGGCAGGGGGACCCCAAGCCGCTGCCCATGGTGGTGCGCGTTGTGGAGCACGTGGAGGAGTATGGTGACTGGTGAGCAGGGAGGGGGGTGTTGTGTGGGTGGACTAGGTGTTGCTCGGTTGGGAGGTGTTGGTAGTGGTGACAGTGCCCATGGTGGTGTGGGCGGGCAGGGGGACCCCAAGCCACTGCCCATAGTGGTGCGCGTGGTGGGGCACTTGGAGGAGTATGGCGGCTGGTGGGAAGAGGTTGAGGGGTTATGTGTTGTCTGGGATGACTTGGCTTGGCTGACTTGGCTGACTTGGTGCGGTTAACCTGGTAACGCCCGCTTCTGCGTGCACACCAAGCTGCTGCCCATGTTGGTGCGCGCGGTGGGGCACGTGGAGGAGTATGGCGGCTGGTGAGAAGGCCTGGGGGGAATGAGGTGTTGACTTTGTTGACTTGCTATGAGGATCAACACATGTTTTGAACGGTTTTGTAGAATTCTCATGAACCAACGCTTTTTTTTCTAGGTGAGTCAACCCATTATTCTCTCACTTATTCTGCCCTGTTCTCCTCCTGATTTTCCCTCTTCCCTTTCCCTCTCACCCCTCTCCACCACACACCACCCCCAACCAATTCCTTTCCCCCCCCCACGCCTCAGGGACACTCCTGCTCCGTTCATTCCCCCACCTCATCCTGATGCGCCCACAGCTTCGGTCCGAACCTATGGAGGAGCCTTGGCAAGCATATTCACGGAGTTTGGAAGAGGGGCAAACATAGGAGGAGGGGGAGGAGGAGGAGGAGGAGGAGGATTGGGCGAGCAGGGTGTGACTATAACGGGAGTGACTGAACGGATAGTGGGGGCGCTCATGGGGGTCGTGGAGGGGAAGGCGGCTGCATGTGATGATGACGTCACGAGGGCACTGTTCATGCTCAACAACACATGCGTCATCCAGCAGTACGTTCATGCGTTGACCCCCATGCATGCACCGTGGAGGTCAATGCATCATGAGGGTCAATGCACCATGGATGGAGGTCAATGCGTTATAAGTGTGCCTCATTTGAAGCACCTGTATTTTCGGGTCACTGCATTGTGTGTTCGCAACTCCGCCCTCTTTTCAGCTCCTCCTTAGATGGTTTTTGCACCCTTTGTCTTGATCCTTTCTGAACCCTTCGCCACCCTTTTGCATTTGTAACTCGCAACGTCCTGCCTCACCTCCCTCACCTCCCTCACCTCCCTCACCTCACCTCTCATTCCATCCCCTGACCAATCAGAGCCTGCCAGCGCTTCCCATCCATCAGCCCCGTGTCAGGTGCAGTGGAGTCCCACTCACAGGCCTTCCTGCTCGCAGCTACCAGGAAGGTGAGTAAGCATGCTGACGTGGCATCCACGTGGCAAGCATCCCGGCAGCAGATCTCGCACTTTGCCTCGGCGTTTCCCACTCCTGCTGACTCTTTAACCCATCCCTCCCTCACCTCCTCTTCCAATGCTCTCCCAGACTCCCAACACCCCTGATTCCTCCGCCCTCTTTTGCCCTCCTTTTGACGCGCCCCAAACTACATCCCTCTGCCTCCTCTCCCATTGCCCTCCCAACTCTCCTGATTCTCTGCCCTCCGCCACCCTCCTGCACCCCTCTCCACCCCTGCCTTCCCCTCTCATCCTTGCAACCCTTCCACCCCTGCATCTCCTCCACCCTGCCATCCCCCTCTACATTCTCTTCCTCCACGCCCCTCTATAGCCTCCCCTGACCCTTCTTCCCGATCCCCATGTCACCCTGTCGTCGCGCGACCTCCCTTCCAGGCCCTCTATGTTTATATTTTTCCACGCCCCCCTATAGCCTCCCCTGACCCTTCTTTCTGATCCCCATGTCATGCTGTCGTCACAGCTATGTTGAGAAAGACGCGTCCTGCGTCCTGGACGCGACGCATGCGTCCAGACGCAGGGCGCAGCACCAGGACCAGAAAGACGCACCAAAAGACGCAAGCCCGGGCAGGGCAAAAAAACCCCCCGGGCAGGCAAAAAAAATGTTCTAGGGCATGGGAAGAGGGGGGGGGGGGAAACGGTCCACACTTTCAAGGCAAATTTGTCCCCAACAAGAATTTACGTCACGCATGTCACAAGGTCACACATACATTCTATCCAATCACTCAAGAATGGCGATTTGGGCAAGGGGGAAACGAAATTTCGCGATTTCGACATTCACATCGAAATCGCGAATGTCAATTTCGCAATCAGGGAATTGTTTTTCCGGGCAGCCCGGAAAAAAAATTCGCCGAGCGTCCTCCGTGCGTCTTTCTCAACATAGCGTCACAGTTGCTGCATGCACTACCTCCCTCCTAGGCCCTCTATGTTTACCTTCCTCCACGCCCCACTATATCCCCATGTCACCCTGCCAACACAGCTGCTGCAGGCGTTACCAGCTCCTGAGAAGAGCTTGAAGATGGGGCAACGACAGGTGGAGGAGAGGTGAGGGTGGGCAGAGGTGAGGGGGAGGCGCGAGGGTGAGGGGAGAGGCAGACAAGGGGTGAGGTGGGAAGGGGGAGGGGGGGGGGGGGGGGTAAAGGTGGTTAATTTCTCAGTAATGATTGTCAGGGAGCGCATTACACTCTTGTCAACAAATGGCATGTCCGAGTCACCCTCTCGTCGTGATGCTTTTAGTATGGCATGTATCAGGAGGGTAATATCTGAGCTGGTATCAAGCGATTATTGCGTACTATTGTGCGCACACCTCGGTGATAGTTTGGGACGTTTCAAAACAAAGATTCTCAAAGTTGCAGTCCCACTGTGATGTGCATAACTCGTTATTTGAGTCGACTCAAAACACTGTGATGTGCATCTCTCGTTCCATCCCATCTACCCCCCCACTATCCCAGGCTTGCCGAGTTCATTTTTGAGGCGCCTTAACAATAAAAATTACTTTTTTGAGGCGCCTAAAAAATAAAACCTTTTGAGGTGCCTCAGAGATACCTCGTTCCATCCCATCTACCCCCCCCCCCCTACCCCAGGCTTGCCGAGTTCAACAAGGAATTCGAGTCGCTCTCTCTGCAGCAGCTCTCCTGGCCAATAGTGGACGACGATTGCCGTGTGGCGATGCGGAAGAGATGGGCTGCACACATTGTATCCATCTACAGCGATTTTGTTGACCCTCATATGTAAGTATTAAGAAGCACAAATGTTCCGAGAATATTAGGGTACAGTGTGTATGATGCACGAAAGGTCCCCAAATTAACTAATCTACCTTTCTATCATCCCACTTGTTTGACCCTTTCCCAGGCACTGGCTGCCTGACTCTCCCTCTTTCCGCTTGGATCCCCCCACGCTAGAGCGCCTGATCCTGAAGACGTTCTTTCCACGCACTCGTTCATGCGCCACTGCAGCTCGTTCTCGTCGCTTCTCACCTGCATCTGAATCTAACATTCTTTTTCCAAATTCATGCCCTCTTACTAAAACGACTGAAACTCATGTATGCTGATTTATGTCTTATATATATTTATATGTATATATATATATATATATCAAGAGTAAGTGCATGCTCACCACAGACGAGCTAAGCGTATGGAAACCACGATGTTTTAGCAAGCACAAAACATGCACTACCTCATTCAACCGAACCGAACCGAAAATGCGGCGCCGTGAAGCGTGTCGTGCTGGTGAGGCGAACGTGTGAAATGCGAATGATCGGGACACCTCTCGTTCTGTACTGTTGATTTGGGGGACCCAAAACCAAACAGTGCGATACAACCCAACCCAACCCAAGCCAACCTATTCGGCAGCATACGGGATATATCGCGAGGATGACTGCCAAGTCCGAAATCCGAATGCGGGGTGAGACCTCACAAGAACTAGGAAGCTCGCTAGCGCTTTAGTAATTTGCACGCTACGCTTCGTCTTCATATCCTAGCGATTCCTCCATGAGTCCAGGTCCGTCCTCACCACTTACAGGATGCACATCCCTGTTTCTTGTGTCGCGGTTCGGAACATTCTGCTCCACTCTCCCTCCACCCACGCAACCTAAACGCAACCCTCATCATGTCAACATCCTGGGCGGCGACGAAGTCACGCGTATTACACACAATACCTTCTCCTTCCCCATTCCACCTCTATATTTTTTTGTTGCATCCTTACCACCATTATCTCTAGCGCAAGGACGATAGCATGACAAGATAATGAAGTCATTGTCACCCAAAGGACTTCGTGGAATCGAAAGAGACCGCTTTTAGGACTCCAACAATCATGGCGACAACACAAAGTAGGCCAACATCTGATAACCATGCCAATAATTTTGCATCTGCTAGCGATTTCAATGGCGACGCTTATAGTTCGGGTTACGAATGCGTCAAGGCGAATTGCTGCAAGCTGAAATCTGTTTCAAAACACGGCAATCCCGAGAGTGTTGTTGATACTGACTTCGAACCAGACGAATCAAGTGTTTGGAGTCCTAACGGCGACGGCGGCCGGCTCCCGCCACAAGCTTCAGCCATGCCACCACTACCTAGAATCAAGGCCTGCCATGGAAAGCCCGTGCTTATGCGAATGCTGGCGAAGAAGCATTACAGGTATCATGCAGATCGCAAGGATCCGATGGTATCACCAGTGCCAGAGCGAGAAGCCTACGTTGTCCAGTCAGATCCATTCTCCCATCTGCCCCTAACTCTACCACCCACCTTCCTCGACCTGCAATTGGCGCGCAAACGTCGGTTTGCCATTTCTCCCACAATACTAGGTTCAACCGGTTTTGACTAAAATTTCCCCAATTTACACCCATTCACTTACTGATTCTTCTTTTCCCAAGGGGGAGCAACTAGGAAATAGACCTGTAAAACATGGGAATTTGATTACCCATTGGAATGATAATATCGAAGAGGTCTCAATGACAAAACCGTTTTTTTTCAAACAAAATTGTCGAAAAATGGCATTCATTGACATGTGCATCTGGGGTTGAACTAACTACACAATTAGCCCATCTAGCAAGATCGCCATGCCATGAGCTGCAAGCTCTCAGCAATCCCAGACAACGACCCAGCAAACCCAACCAGGTGATGCACCACCTTACTTCTTCTTGGCAGCAGCCTTGGTGACCTTGGCACCAGAGGGGTCCTTCTTCTCAACGCTCTTGATGACACCGACAGCCACTGTTTGCCGCATGTCACGCACGGCGAAGCGACCAAGAGGAGGATACTCGGAGAAGGTCTCCACGCACATGGGCTTGGTGGGAACCATCTTCACGAAGCAAGCATCACCGTTCTTCACGAACTTGGGCTCCTTCTCCAGCTCCTTACCGGAACGCCTGTCCACCTTGGTGATGATCTCAGAGAACTTCACGGCAATGTGGGACGTGTGGCAATCCAGCACAGGCGCGTAGCCGTTGCCGATCTGGCCGGGATGGTTCATGATGATGACTTGCGAGGTGAAGTTGGCAGCCTCCCTGGCGGGATCGTTCTTGGAGTCGGAGGCGACATAGCCACGCTTCAGCTCCTTCACCGACACGTTCTTCACGTTAAAGCCAACGTTGTCGCCGGGAGCAGCCTCGGGAAGAGACTCGTGGTGCATCTCGACCGACTTCACCTCAGTGGTCAGCCCGCTGGGAGCGAACACCACAACCATACCGGGCTTTAGCACACCAGTCTCCACACGACCGACCGGGACTGTTCCGATACCGCCGATCTTGTACACGTCCTGAAGGGGCAGACGCAGGGGCTTGTCGGACGGCCTCTTGGGCTCAGTCACCTGGTCCAGAGCCTCCAGAAGGGTGGGGCCCTTGTACCAGTCCAGGTTGGTGGAGCGCTCAATCATGTTATCACCCTCGAAACCGGAGATGGGCACGAAGGGAATCTTGTCGGGGTTGTAGCCGACCTTCTTCAGGTACGACGACACTTCCTTCACGATTTCCTCGTAACGAGCCTTGGAGTACTTGGGGGTGGTGGCATCCATCTGGGACAACGGAAGGAGTGCTCACATTAGTATCAGATCCAGGTGATTCTCGTGTGAGAAGTTCAGACAAAAGGTCAACCAAAACGCCATGATCAATCATACGACGCAAAAACTGGTTGATCCGATGTTACAAAAATACGATTATACCTTGTTGCAGCAGCAGATCATCTGCTTCACACCAAGGGTGAACGCCAGCAGAGCGTGCTCACGGGTCTGACCGTCCTTGGAAATACCGGCCTCGAAACCACCAGTGGTGGAGTCAATGATCAGAACAGCGCAGTCAGCCTGTAACAAAACCGGCCAAATGATGATAAGATCGGGGACTCGGAGCATAATGAAAAAATGGAAAATTCAGATCTCAACACAAAAAAAAGGCTTAATCAACTCACCTGCGAGGTACCCGTAATCATGTTCTTGATGAAATCGCGATGGCCGGGAGCGTCGATAACCGTGCAGTAGTACTTGTTGGTCTCGAACTTCCACAGAGCGATATCGATGGTGATACCACGCTCGCGCTCCGCCTTGAGCTTGTCCAGCACCCAGGCGTACTTGAAGGACCTCTTGTTCATCTCAGCGGCTTCCTTCTCGAAACGCTCAATCACACGCTTGTCAATCCCACCCAGCTTGTAGATGAGATGACCAGTCGTCGTCGACTTGCCGGAGTCGACATGGCCGATAACGACAATGTTGATGTGCAACTTTTCCTTACCCATGCTGCTGAACTGAAGGATTAGGGGGGTTTAAGGAAAGAATATGTGTCAGACATGTCTCATGTTCAAGATGGTCTAGCAAAGCGTGCAGGACGGCAAGCTAACTTCTAGCCGAGTCTAAACCATGTCTTGTAAATACACGCTAGTTTGCAAGGAATACGTGAAGTGCGTACCTGATGGGGAAGGGGGGATCTGAAGCTGTGTAAGGGAGGGTCTGGGATGGGCTAACAAGAGCCCTGAAACTCGAAGTTCCAAAAATGAACCCCTTTCGTGGGGAGAACGTCTAATGAAGCACAAGGGCCAAGGCAAAGGGGCTGGGTGGAGGGAGAATCTTTCGAGATGACCCACACCTCGAATCTCAAGGTCAGGGCTGGCAGCAGGATGCAGCCTGCTGCTGGTCTGGGTGGTGTGGCTTGGGCTCGGCTCGGAAGTTCGTTCAACTGGTTCGTTTGGGGCCTTTGTCTGTCGCAAGCCACGTGTACTTGCGAAATTGCTTTCACGCCGTCAAGGAGCTCCTCGCTGAACTTGTCGCTGATGTGGCGAATCCCGTTTTCCAACCTCCTTGGGCGGTTTGGGGGCAAGCCTCATTCGGTAAACCCTCTCAAAACCTCCGCTGCCTAATTGAGTTACTTACACACACCGCACTCAAAATCTCTCAAGTGGGAATTCGTCACATTGTGACCCGCTAACCTTCCAGAAAACACTTTCGTATCCATTTGAAGGCATAATATACAACGACCTAGATTGTACAAATCTTATGATTAAACAAATATATGAATCGCGCACATAAGCATAAGTTGAAAATAAAGAAGTGGGATGCAGTAAGGCCTTGTCTAGGTGACAGGATCATCTGTAAAGAGATTTTTCCCCTCAAAGAGTCCTGCTCGAGTCGACTTGATTGGCGAGCGTGTGAGGACGAGATTCCAAAGGTCACTTGCGCCACTTGCTGATTTTGGCGGCTTCTTCGAGAATGACGAGCGGAGCAGGTGACGTTGATCGTGAGGATGAGGTGGCCCCAACAATTAAATTCAAACAGGTGCCCCAACTCTTCCTTGAAAGACGTTAGTGTTTTCCACCGTCTGGGACCGTGAGGCATGCATTCAGACCGGACAGTACAGAGCGATCAAGAACCACTTCGGATCTGTCTGACGCCACCCAAGGTGTTCGTGATTTTTCTTGAAGGACGCTTCAGATTGCGGGTATGCCCTGTATATAGCAGGCAAACAAATGTAGTCCGACTCACTTTTTGCCGAAAAATGGCTCATTCGGTAGTGTGCTGAACTAGTCAACGGCCCCTTGCAGCAGATGGAATTCTTTCTCAGTCTAAGTCTCCAGTCGCGGAAACAGGTAGGGTATGCAGCCTGAGGAAACGTCCTCCTTTTCCGGACCTTGGGCGGTGAGGACATGTAACTCTGGAAGACATGTACTGTACGTGTATCTTGCGTATGGTGACTGAGCCAACAGCAAGGAACCATGGTGGTTTGGAACCATTTTAGGGAATGCCTTCTCGGAGGTACCACCTAGCTCATTTTAGTAGTGCGTGCGACGTTCCCGCTCATTGCATGTTTTTGCTTCCTCACTCTCTGTTCTTTCCGCGCAGCATCGAATTAACCCTAGCAACAACTCAAACTCCATTTGTCGTGCACATGTTTCGCTTGAAGGTGCTCCGCTTTGCACAATCGAGTTAATGATGCTTCCGCCGTGGACTCTCTCAGCCGTTTTTTGCGAAGCTTGCCGGCATTCAGCACTTCGTCGTAGACAGCAGCAGTAAGTTCGCTAAGATCAGCAATGAGCTCGATACGAAGCGGTGAATTCGTTGGTAGCAGCAGTAGGTTTCGCTAGTAAACGTGCTCTGAGTATCACATCTCACAATGTTGGTCCGTTTTCGTGTTCCTTTTGTTGTTGTTATTCGTTCTCGAATGAGTCGCATTTATTCGAAGTATTTCAAATCCTTCATCGAATGATACGAAGACAGTGCCTTAACACCGGAGTAGTTTTTTGGAGCGAGTAATAAAGATCCGGTGCTAGCTAGACGTAACGCGTCGCCATTAATGGACCGAACACGCATTCCGGCTGTCTCTGAAGTTTCTCGTTATCGTTGATGTTTCCCGTTATTACAGACGCTTTCCGTCATCACGGGTGATTGTCGCTATCACTGACGTCGATCCCTGACGTTTGTGCTCTCACTCACAATCAATACGTTGACGTTTATCGTTATCCGTGACGTCTGTCGTTCTCACTGACGTTTAGAAGCTTCCCTGACATGATCGCAATTACCGTCGTTACTCCCTGACAATTATCCTCATCCCTGACGTTTGTCGCTATCCCAACGTTTTCCGTCAGCAGGAGCGCGACCCGGGGGCATGGCGGCGGCGGTAATATTCGTGTTAGGGTTCGCTCTGGGGGCGGTGCTGCTGGTGCTGTGGAAATACGTCATGGACCAGCGGCAGACGCTGCGCGACCGAGAGGTCAGTACCACGCCCGTAACGTAGTGTCGCCCCCCCACCCCCCCCCTTGATTTTTGAGACGACTCAAAAGTCACCGCTGGTAAAGCTGTGGAAAATACGTCGCGGACCAGCGGCAGACGCTGCGCAACCGAGAGGTCAGTGCGCCCGTATCGTACTACGTAACCTCAACCTTACCCCCAACCTTTCCCTTTCCCCCCCACCCGCCTCCCTGCGAATACGTCATGGATCAGCGACAGACGCTACGCGAGCGCGAGGTCAGTTCGCCCGTAACGTACTGCGCAGGGCCCTCTCCCCAGTCTCGCCCTTCCCCCTTCCTCCCGCCCCTCCCTTTTCCGCCCCAACCCTTCCCATTCCCCAACCCGCCCCTGCTTTCTTCCTGGCCTTCGCTTTCCCCCCTTTTTCCCGTCCTCCCTAACCTTCCCTCCGCCTTCTCTTCCCCACTGCCTTCGCTCCCCCTTGCGCGCACATCCACTTTCCGCAGCGCGCTTCAGCTGGCGGACACTTTAACATAACAGCAATCATGTCCCCCTTACCCCTTCCCCCCCTTCCCCATGACCCCTCCCCCATTACCCTGCTCCCCCTCCCTTATTTCCCTGTCCTCTTGATTCCTCCCCCATTCAGCATTCCCATTCGCCATTCCCACTCTCCCCTTCCTCCTAACCTGACCCCCCCCCCCCCCCCCCCCCCCCCATTACCCTGTTCCCCCTCCCTTATTTCCCCTTTTTCCTTGATTCCTCCCCCATTCAGCATTCCCCATTCCCCATTCCCCATTCAGCATTCCCCATTACCCATTCCCCATTCAGCATTCCCCATTCCCGATTCCCCATTCAGCATTCCCCATTCCCGATTCCCCATTCAGCATTCCCCATGCCCCATTACCCATTCCCCCTCCCCCCTGCAACTTGAAGGCGGACATTCACGTCCTGAACGCGCTGCAGCTGGCAGACATCCAGTCACCCGTCCCCTATTCCTCTTCCGCCTATCCCCTCCCTTATTACCCCATTCCCCTCTTCCCCCTTCCCCCTTCCCCCTTCCGCCTAAACCCCCCCTCCCCCCCCATTACCCTGTTCCCCCTCTCTTATTTCCCTTTCCCCTTGATTCCTCCCCCATTCAGCATTCCCCATTCCCCATTCCCCATTCCCCCTTCTCCCTCCCCCTGGCGATCAGAAGGCGGACATTCACTTCCTGAACGCGCTGCAGCAGGCGGACGCTCTCAGTCACCCCTCCTCTATTCCCCTTCCGTCCTACCCCTCCCCCCTTCCCTTCCGGAGCAGAAGGCGGACATTCACTTTCTGAACGCGCTGCAGCTGGCGGACCTACGGGCGATCTGTCGTGAGGACACCCCTGGCTGGGTGCACTTCCAGGAGTTCGAACATGTGCGATGGTGATGGGTCATGGGTCATGGGTCATGGGTCATGGGTCATGGGTCATGGGTCATGGGTCATGGGTCATGGGTCATGGGTCATGGGTGATGGGTGATGGGTGATGTGTGATTGAGCATGTGCGATGGGTGATAGTGCATGTGAGAGGGGTGATAGCATGTGAGAGGGTTGGTGGAGCATGTGAGGTGGTTATAGAGCATTTGCGATGGGCGATCAAGCATGTGCGATGGGTGATGGTTGATAGAGAATGTGAGATAGGCGATAGACCATGTGAGATGGGTGGTAAAGCATGTGCGATGGGTGATAAATTACATAAGGTGGAAGATAGGGCATGGGAGATGGGTGATAGAGCATGTGAGATGGATGATATGGAATATGAGATTGGAATAGTAGACCATGTGAGATGGTTGATTGATCATGTGAGATGGGAGTCATCTATAGCAGAGTCATCTATAGCAGAGACATCTATAGCAGAGAACCAGAAGGATCCGCAGCAAGCTGTGCTGTGTTGCCTCCCCCCCTCCTGTTGGTCGTGGCTGGCAGGTGCACTGGCTGAACGTGCAACTGCAAGAGGTGTGGAAGTATGTCGACCGGGTGAGTTGGGGGGTAATTTAGGGGTGACCAGTGTGGGGAGGGGTTGATAGGAGGGTGGCAGGGTGACTTGAGGTCAGGGTTAATAAAAACGACCGTATTTTTGGAAATTTACCGTAAAAAACGGTACCATAAAAAACGACCGTAAAAAACGGTTTAAAACGGTTCCAGGAGGTGTTTTTAGTTTTAAGAAAAAAACGGAAGATTTGTGGGACCAAATTAATGGCGAAAGGTACCAGGATGAAGAGGACGACCCCCTCCTTGAATGCGTGCATCTGTGGGCGTGATTGAAAATGTTTTCGACCTTGTTTTTCCCTTTTTTTTTCTTGGTGACAAGAGTTTTCTAACAAAAAAACGCCGTATATATATATATATATATATATATATATATATATATATATATATATATATATATATATATATATATATATATATATATATATATATATTTATATATATATATATATATATATATATATATATATATATATATATATATATATATATATATATATATATATATATGTATATATTTTTCTTTTAACCGTAAAAAACGGACCGTATTTTACGAAAACCGTAATTTTGAACCTTGCTTGAGGTGGCTGGAAGGGAGAGTTGGGGCCACTGGGTGAGTTGGGGTGCCTGCCACTGTAAAGTGTGGGCCCTCTCAAGCCCTCTCTCCGCCAGATACAAGCCCCTTCTTTCCCCCTCTCCCCTCCCCCTTTCCCCATGCAGGCAACGTCCCATCTGGTGAAGGAGGTGGTTGAGCCATTGCTCGACAGCTACAAGCCCTGCCTCTCCCTCTCTCTCTGCTACAAGCTGCTTCTCCCCCACTCTCCCCTCTCCTCTCCTCTCCCCTCTCCCCTCTCCTCTCCCCTCCCCTCTCCCCTCTCCTCTCCCCTCCCCTCTCCCCCGCACTGCAGGCAACATCCCATCTGGTGAAGGAGGTGGTGGAGCCAATGCTCGACAGCTACAAGCCGTCGGGGGTGTCATCGCTCACCTTCAAGCGCTTCAAGCTTGGCAGCAACGCGCCGCGCATCGAAGGTACGTGCGGCTTTTGTTGCACACAGCAGGTGCGCCTCTTGTTGCACACAGCAGGTGCGCCTCTTGTTGCACACAGCAGGTGCGCCTCTTGTTGCACACAGCAGGTGCGCCTCTTGTTGCACACAGCAGGTGCGCCTCTTGTTGCACACAGCAGGTGACTTTTGAGACGACTCACAAGCCCTCAGGAGTGTCGTCGCTAACCTTCAAGCGCTTCAAGTTCGGCAGCAACGCCCCGTGCATCGAAGGTGCTTGCGCCTCTCCGAGTCGTTTTGAGAATTCTTAGAAGTGACCGATTGCACATAGAGGGTGAGCTTCGCCTGCAACACAGCGCCTCGTGTGTCGACCCAAAATTCACCTTGTTCTGAATCGACTCACATGGGACGTGTCACAGTCAGGTGCAGGGCGGTCCATGTATCACCATGTAATCGCCTGCTTCGTTTTGTTCTCTGCCCGCACAGAGGTTGTTCAGATCAGACTGCAGATGGTTGCCCACGTGCACATTCCCTTGCACCATTTGCCAGCACCCGCACATGGTACAACTGCTGGTGGAGCAGCAGGTGATGGTGGGTATGGACGTGTGGGTTGAGGGGGAAGGCCTTGAGGCTTGAACACTCAAGCTATCCCCCTCCCTGCTCATGTCGCATGCTGCCAACGGCTGGTGGAGCAGCAGGAGATTGTGGAAATGGACGTGTGTGTGGGAGGGGGAAGGGCGTTATGCTTCAAGACTCAAGCCTTCCCCTTTCTGATGTGCCGTGTGCCACATCCCCTCCCTGCACCCGCACAGGTGTGAAGGTGCAACGGCTGGTGGAGCAGCAAGTGATTTTGGACATGGACTTGTGGGTGGGGGGGAAGGGAAGGGAAGGGCATCAAGGCTTCATCTCTCAAGCCGTGTCTCACAACCTCCCCTCCCTCCCACACAGGTGTGAAGGTGCAGCGGCTGGTGGAGCAGCAGAGGTGACTTTTGAGTCGACTCAAAAGTCACAACCTCCCCTCCCTCCCACACAGGTGTGAAGGTGCAGCGGCTGGTGGAGCAGCAGAGGTGACTTTTGAGTCGACTCAAAAGTCACAACCTCCCCTCCCTCCCACACAGGTGTGAAGGTGCAACGGCTGGTCGAGCAGCAAGTGATTTTGGACATGGACTTGTGGGTGGGGTGGGAAGGGAAGGGAAGGGCATCAAGGCTTCATCTCTCAAGCCGTGTCTCACAACCTCCCCTCCCTCCCACACAGGTGTGAAGGTGCAGCGGCTGGTGGAGCAGCAGAGGTGACTTTTGAGTCGACTCAAAAGTCACAACCTCCCCTCCCTCCCACACAGGTGTGAAGGTGCAACGGCTGGTGGAGCAGCAGGTGATAGTGGACATGGACGTGTGGGTGGGAAAAAGGTTTTCAAGGTTTCTAACGCTCAAGCCCTCTCCTTCCTCCGCACAGGCGTGAAGGTACAACGGCTGGTGGAGCAGCAGGTGATTGTGGACATGGACTTGTGGGTGGGGGGAGGCTCATCAATCATCCTCGCCATCGCCAGCATGGGCGTCAAGATGCACGTGCAGGTGAGGGCTTGAGGCCTCTAGGGCCAAGACGCACGTGCAGCAGGGGACAGGGAGTGAAGATGCATTTTCAAGGTGCGTGTGGGTGCCATGGGATGGGTGTGTGGCGGTTTGGCAGACACACCTTCTCCATCCATCCCTTCAAATGTGCCCCTTCTTCTTGCTCTCTTCCCCTCCACCCCTCCTCCCCTCCACCCCTCCACCCCTCCTCCCCTCCTCCCCTCCTCTCCGCCTCCCCTCTCCCCCTCCTCCCGTCTCGTTCTCCCCGTCCCCCTCACCACACCACACCACACTGCACCGCACGGCAGCTCAAGGACCTGGAGCTGAGGGCGAGGCTGAGGCTCATCCTGCAGCTGGGGGAGGAGCTGCCGTGCATCGATGCTGTCGTCATCTCCATCCACAAGAAGGTGCACCCCTCTTCAATGCCCTTGCCGCAGTCCAGCTTCACTGCACCTCTCTGCGCCTCTCTGCACCTCTCTGCACCTCTCTGCACCTCTCTGCACCTCTCTGCACCTCTCTGCACCTCTCTGCAGCTGCCGTGCATCGATGCGATGCAGTCGTCATCTCCATCCACAAGAAGGTGCGCCTCCCTTCACTCTCACAGCCCCTCTTGTTGACTCTAGCTGCGCTCCCCGCTTCAGTACCCTTGAGACTGGTCCCACCTCTCTGCACCTCTTTCCACCTCTGTGCACCTCGCTGCAGCTGCCGTGCCGTGCCGGTGCCAGCAAGGTATGCCCCACTTTAGCACATGCCTGCTTCACTGCAGCTGGGAGAGGAGCTGCCGTGCATCGACGCAGTCGTCATCTCCATCCACAAGAAGATGCGCTGCTCCACTTCACCACCTCTCCGCCGCACTGTACTGCCCTGCTCTGCAGCATCGTGTTTCTCTCCCCCTCACTGTACAGCTCCCCCTGGCTGTAAGTCACTCCCTCACGACGTCTCGGGCTGACTATACCTCTCTTCAGACTGCACAAGTGGCCAGCCTCCACGTCGCTGCACAAGTGGCCGGCCTCCACGTCGCTGCACAAGTGGCCGGCCTCCACGTCGCTGCACAAGTGGCCGGCCTCCACGTCGCTGCACAAGTCGCTGGCCTCCACGTCGCTGCACAAGTCGCTGGCCTCCACGTCGCTGCACAAGTCGCTGGCCTCCACATCGCTGCACAAGTCGCTGGCCTCCACGTCGCTGCACAAGTCGCTGGCCTCCACGTCGCTGCACAAGTCGCTGGCCTCCACGTCGCTGCACAAGTCGCTGGCCTCCACATCGCTGCACAAGTCGCTGGCCTCCACGTCGCTGCACAAGTCGCTGGCCTCCACGTCGCTGCACAAGTCGCTGGCCTCCACATCGCTGCACAAGTCGCTGGCCTCCACATCGCTGCACAAGTCGCTGGCCTCCACGTCGCTGCACAAGTGGCCGGCCTCCACGTTGCTGCACAAGTCGCTGGCCTCCACGTCGCTGCACAAGTCGCTGGCCTCCACGTCGCTGCACAAGTCGCTGGCCTCCACATCGCTGCACAAGTCGCTGGCCTCCACGCCGCTGCACAAGTCGCTGGCCTCCACGTCGCTGCACAAGTCGCTGGCCTCCACGTCGCTGCACAAGTCGCTGGCCTCCACGTCGCTGCACAAGTCGCTGCTCCCACAGAACAACATGCCGAGCCCTCCCTCTCCGTCAAGTCTGTGCATCGTCTGTAGCTCAGTTGCCTGTTGAGCACAGCACCCTCTCGTCCTCTCGCCTTGAGGCGCCTCAAAACTAGGCTCTCCCTCGAGTCAAGTCTGTGCATCGTCTATAGCTCAGTTGCCTGCCGAGCACAGCACCCTCTCGTCCTCTCGCCTTGAGGCGCCTCAAAACTAGGCTCTCCCTCGAGTCAAGTCTGTGCATCGTCTATAGCTCAGTTGCCTGCCGAACACAGCACCCTCTCGTCCTCTCGCCTTGAGGCGCCTCAAAACTAGGCTCTCCCTCGAGTCAAGTCTGTGCATCGTCTATAGCTCAGTTGCCTGCCGAGCACAGCACCCTCTCGTCCTCTCGCCTTGAGGCGCCTCAAAACTAGGCTCTCCCTCGAGTCAAGTCTGTGCATCGTCTATAGCTCAGTTGCCTGCCGAGCACAGCACCCTCTCGTCCTCTCGCCTTGAGGCGCCTCAAAACTAGGCTCTCCCTCGAGTCAAGTCTGTGCATCGTCTATAGCTCAGTTGCCTGCCGAGCACAGCACCCTCTCGTCCTCTCGCCTTGAGGCGCCTCAAAACTAGGCTCTCCCTCGAGTCAAGTCTGTGCATCGTCTATAGCTCAATTGCCTGCCGAGCACAGCACCCTCTCGTCCTCTCGCCTTGAGGCGCCTCAAAACTAGGCTCTCCCTCGAGTCAAGTCTGTGCATCGTCTATAGCTCAGTTGCCTGCCGAGCACAGCACCCTCTCGTCCTCTCGCCTTGAGGCGCCTCAAAACTAGGCTCTCCCTCGAGTCCAGTCTGTGCATCGTCTATAGCTCAGTTGCCTGCCGAGCACAGCACCCTCTCGTCCTCTCGCCTTGAGGCGCCTCAAAACTAGGCTCTCCCTCGAGTCAAGTCTGTGCATCGTCTATAGCTCAGTTGCCTGCCGAGCACAGCACCCTCTCGTCCTCTTGCCTTGAGGCGCCTCAAAACTAGGCTCTCCCTCGAGTCAAGTCTGTGCATCGTCTATAGCTCAGTTGCCTGCCGAGCACAGCACCCTCTCGTCCTCTCGCCTTGAGGCGCCTCAAAACTAGGCTCTCCCTCGAGTCAAGTCTGTGCATCGTCTATAGCTCAGTTGCCTGCCGAGCACAGCACCCTCTCGTCCTCTCGCCTTGAGGCGCCTCAAAACTAGGCTCTCCCTTGAGTCAAGTCTGTGCATCGTCTATAGCTCAATTGCCTGCCGAGCACAGCACCCTCTCGTCCTCTCGCCTTGAGGCGCCTCAAAACTAGGCTCTCCCTCGAGTCAAGTCTGTGCATCGTCTATAGCTCAGTTGCCTGCCGAGCACAGCACCCTCTCGTCCTCTCGCCTTGAGGCGCCTCAAAACTAGGCTCTCCCTCGAGTCAAGTCTGTGCATCGTCTATAGCTCAATTGCCTGCCGAGCACAGCACCCTCTCGTCCTCTCGCCTTGAGGCGCCTCAAAACTAGGCTCTCCCTCGAGTCAAGTCTGTGCATCGTCTATAGCTCAATTGCCTGCCGAGCACAGCACCCTCTCGTCCTCTCGCCTTGAGGCGCCTCAAAACTAGGCTCTCCCTCGAGTCAAGTCTGTGCATCGTCTATAGCTCAGTTGCCTGCCGAGCACAGCACCCTCTCGTCCTCTCGCCTTGAGGCGCCTCAAAACTAGGCTCTCCCTCGAGTCAAGTCTGTGCATCGTCTATAGCTCAATTGCCTGCCGAGCACAGCACCCTCTCGTCCTCTCGCCTTGAGGCGCCTCAAAACTAGGCTCTCCCTCGAGTCAAGTCTGTGCATCGTCTATAGCTCAATTGACCGCCGAGCACAGCACCCTCTCGTCCTCTCGCCTTGAGGCGCCTCAAAACTAGGCTCTCCCTCGAGTCAAGTCTGTGCATCGTCTATAGCTCAGTTGCCTGCCGAGCACAGCACCCTCTCGTCCTCTCGCCTTGAGGCGCCTCAAAACTAGGCTCTCCCTCGAGTCAAGTCTGTGCATCGTCTATAGCTCAATTGCCTGCCGAGCACAGCACCCTCTCGTCCTCTCGCCTTGAGGCGCCTCAAAACTAGGCTCTCCCTCGAGTCAAGTCTGTGCATCGTCTATAGCTCAATTGCCTGCCGAGCACAGCACCCTCTCGTCCTCTCGCCTTGAGGCGCCTCAAAACTAGGCTCTCCCTCGAGTCAAGTCTGTGCATCGTCTATAGCTCAATTGCCTGCCGAGCACAGCACCCTCTCGTCCTCTCGCCTTGAGGCGCCTCAAAACTAGGCTCTCCCTCGAGTCAAGTCTGTGCATAGTCTATAGCTCAATTGCCTGCCGAGCACAGCACCCTCTCGTCCTCTCGCCTTGAGGCGCCTCAAAACTAGGCTCTCCCTCGAGTCAAGTCTGTGCATCGTCTATAGCTCAATTGCCTGCCGAGCACAGCACCCTCTCGTCCTCTCGCCTTGAGGCGCCTCAAAACTAGGCTCTCCCTCGAGTCAAGTCTGTGCATCGTCTATAGCTCAATTGCCTGCCGAGCACAGCACCCTCTCGTCCTCTCGCCTTGAGGCGCCTCAAAACTAGGCTCTCCCTCGAGTCAAGTCTGTGCATCGTCTATAGCTCAATTGCCTGCCGAGCACAGCACCCTCTCGTCCTCTCGCCTTGAGGCGCCTCAAAACTAGGCTCTCCCTCGAGTCAAGTCTGTGCATCGTCTATAGCTCAATTGCCTGCCGAGCACAGCACCCTCTCGTCCTCTCGCCTTGAGGCGCCTCAAAACTAGGCTCTCCCTCGAGTCAAGTCTGTGCATCGTCTATAGCTCAATTGCCTGCCGAGCACAGCACCCTCTCGTCCTCTCGCCTTGAGGCGCCTCAAAACTAGGCTCTCCCTCGAGTCAAGTCTGTGCATCGTCTATAGCTCAATTGCCTGCCGAGCACAGCACCCTCTCGTCCTCTCGCCTTGAGGCGCCTCAAAACTAGGCTCTCCCTCGAGTCAAGTCTGTGCATCGTCTATAGCTCAATTGCCTGCCGAGCACAGCACCCTCTCGTCCTCTCGCCTTGAGGCGCCTCAAAACTAGGCTCTCCCTCGAGTCAAGTCTGTGCATCGTCTATAGCTCAATTGCCTGCCGAGCACAGCACCCTCTCGTCCTCTCGCCTTGAGGCGCCTCAAAACTAGGCTCTCCCTCGAGTCAAGTCTGTGCATCGTCTATAGCTCAATTGCCTGCCGAGCACAGCACCCTCTCCTCCTCTCGCCTTGAGGCGCCTCAAAACTAGGCTCTCCCTCGAGTCAAGTCTGTGCATCGTCTATAGCTCAATTGCCTGCCGAGCACAGCACCCTCTCGTCCTCTCGCCTTGAGGCGCCTCAAAACTAGGCTCTCCCTCGAGTCAAGTCTGTGCATCGTCTATAGCTCAATTGCCTGCCGAGCACAGCACCCTCTCGTCCTCTCGCCTTGAGGCGCCTCAAAACTAGGCTCTCCCTCGAGTCAAGTCTGTGCATCGTCTATAGCTCAATTGCCTGCCGAGCACAGCACCCTCTCATCCTCTCGCCTTGAGGCGCCTCAAAACTAGGCTCTCCCTCGAGTCAAGTCTGTGCATCGTCTATAGCTCAGTTGCCTGCCGAGCACAGCACCCTCTCGTCCTCTCGCCTTGAGGCGCCTCAAAACTAGGCTCTCCCTCGAGTCAAGTCTGTGCATCGTCTATAGCTCAGTTGCCTGCCGAGCACAGCACCCTCTCGTCCTCTCGCCTTGAGGCGCCTCAAAACTAGGCTCTCCCTCGAGTCAAGTCTGTGCATCGTCTATAGCTCAGTTGCCTGCCGAGCACAGCACCCTCTCGTCCTCTCGCCTTGAGGCGCCTCAAAACTAGGCTCTCCCTCGAGTCAAGTCTGTGCATCGTCTATAGCTCAGTTGCCTGCCGAGCACAGCACCCTCTCGTCCTCTCGCCTTGAGGCGCCTCAAAACTAGGCTCTCCCTCGAGTCCAGTCTGTGCATCGTCTATAGCTCAGTTGCCTGCCGAGCACAGCACCCTCTCGTCCTCTCGCCTTGAGGCGCCTCAAAACTAGGCTCTCCCTCGAGTCCAGTCTGTGCATCGTCTATAGCTCAGTTGCCTGCCGAGCACAGCACCCTCTCGTCCTCTCGCCTTGAGGCGCCTCAAAACTAGGCTCTCCCTCGAGTCAAGTCTGTGCATCGTCTATAGCTCAGTTGCCTGCCGAGCACAGCACCCTCTCGTCCTCTCGCCTTGAGGCGCCTCAAAACTAGGCTCTCCCTCGAGTCAAGTCTGTGCATCGTCTATAGCTCAGTTGCCTGCCGAGCACAGCACCCTCTCGTCCTCTCGCCTTGAGGCGCCTCAAAACTAGGCTCTCCCTCGAGTCAAGTCTGTGCATCGTCTATAGCTCAGTTGCCTGCCGAGCACAGCACCCTCTCGTCCTCTCGCCTTGAGGCGCCTCAAAACTAGGCTCTCCCTCGAGTCAAGTCTGTGCATCGTCTATAGCTCAGTTGCCTGCCGAGCACAGCACCCTCTCGTCCTCTCGCCTTGAGGCGCCTCAAAACTAGGCTCTCCCTCGAGTCAAGTCTGTGCATCGTCTATAGCTCAGTTGCCTGCCGAGCACAGCACCCTCTCGTCCTCTCGCCTTGAGGCGCCTCAAAACTAGGCTCTCCCTCGAGTCAAGTCTGTGCATCGTCTATAGCTCAGTTGCCTGCCGAGCACAGCACCCTCTCGTCCTCTCGCCTTGAGGCGCCTCAAAACTAGGCTCTCCCTCGAGTCAAGTCTGTGCATCGTCTATAGCTCAGTTGCCTGCCGAGCACAGCACCCTCTCGTCCTCTCGCCTTGAGGCGCCTCAAAACTAGGCTCTCCCTCGAGTCAAGTCTGTGCATCGTCTATAGCTCAGTTGCCTGCCGAGCACAGCACCCTCTCGTCCTCTCGCCTTGAGGCGCCTCAAAACTAGGCTCTCCCTCGAGTCCAGTCTGTGCATCGTCTATAGCTCAGTTGCCTGCCGAGCACAGCACCCTCTCGTCCTCTCGCCTTGAGGCGCCTCAAAACTAGGCTCTCCCTCGAGTCAAGTCTGTGCATCG